TTCTCTAAGCATTGCAAGTCATTTGTCGAACATCTGTTTTCTCATTTTTTATCTTTCTATTCTTGTGTCAATGAAGTAAAAAATAGTCTGCCAGAACTATTTATCCTCTAACGATTATTATTTTAATCGAAGTCTATAAATTTATTGTTCCTCATGGCTGAATAATATCTAAAAATTAATTTCATTTGAATTCTATAAATTTTATATTATTTTGAATTGATAATAATAAACAAAATCGATTTGAATAAATAGAAAATGAAATACGTCGATATATTATTGATCAATCAATTTTTTCATCTGTTGTTTCAATTTCCAATTCTCACAAATTGGATGATTATTATAGAAGAAAAAAGTTTTAACTTAAGTATATTTTTTTATATAATATTATTATTTTTCATTACAATATCTTTTGAATTTCCTTTTCTTTTGAATGAATTCCTATCTTAATTTTTAAAAATATGGCCAAATAATATGACCAAATTGTTCATAAAACAATTATTCAATTTGAAATTATGAACATCATAGATATCTAATATTAGATAAAACAGTTTATGAAATTTTTATATTTATTTATAGATTTCAGAATTAATTATATATATATATATATATATATATATATATTTTTAATACATCACATGATTTCATTAAGCCACTTAAATATGAAGCATATTTTTTTTAATCAATAATTTACTAAGAATATTGAATAGACTTATCTGATTTAGTTACCGTTTTTAACGTAGGTATCATATAGAAATAATATAGAACTGAATTAACCAATTGCTTAGAATCACGCTACTGATATATGATAATATGCATATTGTTGCTGTGATTATCAACGCTGAAGTAACCAAGTAAACACTTATAAAAATAAAAAATATCATATATATGCATAACGAACATAAAATTGAAATAATATTGAACATTAATAAGGACTACGTAAATTTTAAATTCCATTTTTTAATCAAGATATGCAATTCCTATCTATAAATTATTAAATTAAATATAATTATAATGATCTAAGTATGTAATAGAATTTTTAAATTTAGATTTTTTCTATTTCAAATATTTTTGCATTCGATAATTTTTTTTTCAATATTTAATATGTTATAAATATAAAACTGATCATTAATTCAACATACAATCTTGAAATGCAACATGCTTTGACAATGCGGGCGATATTAGTATTCACGGTCGAATCACAATCTAAGGTCCTTTTACATTGCCAAACCCCTATTTTATTCATGGACATATAATGATTATCGTGACTTTCCTTATATATATTCTTTTTTACATTCTTAAAAATTCTTTACATTGTTATATATTTTTAAATCCTCGATGAAATGAAAAGAATTTATGATAATTTAATTTATATAAATATATTTATTATACCTAACGCAATAAAAAAATATCAAGTATAATATCGAAGTATTAAAATTTTAATATAAGATTTTATATAAAAGAATTTTATTAATTCATTATTTTCATTTAATTTATTATTTTATTATTATAGAGTATAAAATTAAATGAAGAATAATTTCAAAGCAAAATAATAAACAGAAATTTTCCATATTTTATTAAACTTTTAAAATTTCTAAAAATATGAATTTAAAATTTCCAAAATATTTAATATTAAAATAAATTGAACAATTTGTATTTATTATTAAAATAAATTGAACGATTATTCCAAAAAAACAATTGTAGAAAAGAGACGCACGTACAGAGCATGGACTACTACAGAAATTGCACGTGGTATGTATCAAACGCATGCGTATAAAAGATCTTCCGACTTCACTGTAATAATGTTGCAGTAGGTTAATACTAGACTCATATGCACATGCGCGTGCTTAGGAGGGGCAAAATCTTCGAAATAGAACGTGTAGTGGGGTGAATCGCGCGAATCCCAGAACAGAGTGGAGCGATGAACCGTTCTGTAGGATGTAACAACCAGTCAGTAAAGAGGGGAAAAGCAATAGTGGGGGATAATATACAGCATTCTATAGAGCATAAATGTAGAAGTGGGGCACGTGCCAACTTCTACTCAAAGAAATGTATGGTAGGGATATGACCGAGGGTAGGGGAAATATGCATCTTGGAGCACGACGAACAAAATTTAAGGTAGTCTGTGAGCAGGCGAGTGACTATGCGCTTGCGTGGCCCTCGGAGAATTCTATTCCTTTTTTAATTTTCCTTTTTTTTCCTCTCGCTGTTTTTGTTCGCATTTTCCTTTCCTCTCGTTTCTTCTCTTTTCTTCATCTTTTTCTTCAGAACATCGATTCAATCTCCGAGGGTCTACAACCTTCTTCCCTGCTTTCCTTTCACCCGATTCGACATGTTAAATTGAAATCACCGAAAGCAATTGTTGAGCCAGGCCAATTTTGGAACTGATAATACGAACCTACCCAAATTGGATCAGGAAATACACCGAAGATTCTTAAGTGAAATCAAAATGAAATTCGTCGAACTGGCAAAACATTGAAGAATATTCTGATAATAATAGTTATTACTAAGTAAGTACCATACACTTATAAAAATAACATTCATATATATTATACGAAAATAAAAAATTACGAAATAAATATTTTTATTAGACACAAACACCAATTGATTCGAAATGATATGAAGACACTATTCACTAATAAAACACGGCTGAACCATTGTTTGACGGATCGTCAATAATGTCGAAATTGGAAAAGGGAAAGCAAAAATCATCTATTATTGAGAATTTGTAAATATATTTGTATATACAAATACGTATACGTAATCTGTATAAAGAGAGAGATGTAGAGTACTGATATTAAAAGTACAACGCTACTCAAGACATGCTCGGTGAATGAGAATTTCTTTCGAAATTGGCCAGTAGTCGGCGTTGCAGATCACATACTAATGTATTCAAGAAATAATTATGTACATTAACAACTTTAACAAATTCTTTATTTTCATAAAAAAGCAAAGATATTTTGGGACACAACTGAAGATATATTACAAATAACCATTTACAAGTTTTATAGCAGATATGTATGTATAATATTATTACAATGGAATAGTTTTACTAAAGATCTGTTTCTGTTTATACTGCCTTCTTAATGGACGGGATGAAGATATCATTGAAAGCTGTATTATAATCTTCGACTCCGACATTTTATTGGTATGCCAGTTAATCTTTTATTTAATTAATTGATTAAATAATGCAAAACTTTAAAAATGTGTCTATTCTGCGATGAATGATTATTGGCATTAATGTAAATATATTTCTATAATGTAAGTGATTCTAATATTTATTCATATTTATTCATAATGATTCATAAATAGTTATAAGTTTTTGTATTTTATTTTAAGATTTTAGAAATTAGAGTTTTAGAAATTAAATTAAGATAATAATAAAATATTTTTCTAAGAAATTTATAAAATTTTCGAAGATTTCAAAACGCCGAGCAATAATTTATCGTAATTTATTTATTTAAAATTAATAATGGTTTTTCATTTTGAGTTTCATTTTAGTTTTTCTTTCTTTTACTTTACTTAAATTACAAATAGCAAAAGAAAGAAAATTCGTTTGAAATTAAAATGAAACAAAAACAACATAACGATCTAGTCAACAAGTGATAAAGATTTAAATATTTAATGCGAGAATCAAAACATATAGATAATCTAGTCTAAAAAAAAGAAAAATATAGTCATGATCTAGTCAAAATCGAGTAATATTTATCTAATCATAAAATATATATTATATTCTAGTCATTATTTAATATTCCAATTGGTGCCACGAATCAACTTCGAGACAATTTTTTTAAAATTTCCTTGTGGATTACTACTAAAAATTAAGCTGAAAATAAATTACAAAAAGTATATATTTAGTTTAATTTCATGTAGCATCAACGAGGCTGTGTACATATTTTCTCGTGTCTTTTTGTTTCTAATCACACCATATTTCTAGTCATTGCATTTTCAATTAAAACATAGATATTATAAGTTTCATTTCATATTCCTCAAAGGATATGCAGGCCACATATGAATGCAATTTGGAACTTTTTTCAAATAGTATCTAGTCATGTAAACATTTGTTCATATATTTATATATATTTTCTCAAACAAATATGTGTGGATGCGATGCCATAAAAAAGTTAAATTGCAAAAATATATTATACTCGATTTTTATAATTTTAAAAAAATTAAAAATAGTTTAAAAGTTGCAGTATATATATATTACTTAGTCATATATAGATTAATATTTATAATATAATTGATTAATCTATTTATTTCGGGAAACGTGCCAGTAACTTACATTATGCCATTATTATATAGAGTTCATAAAAAAAATTTTTTATTAATGAAATATAATTTCAACTATATAAAACAAATAAAATTTTTACAATAATTTATTTCACAATCATTTTTTTAAATTAATATATTACTAATGCGATTGTCGGCAAAAACAAATATTACCTACATAGAGTATTGATAATTTTAATATTTTTCTAAACTCATACAATTTGATGAAAAATTAATTAAATCCATAAAAAAGTCCTATATGGCAGCTTTAAAGATAAAATTAGTATATATTTTTCATTAATTTCAAAATAATAAAATTATTAAGCAGAAATATATAATAAATTAAAACAAATCATATATTTTTAGATAAAAATGCGAATTTGTAAAAGTATTACGAGGCTGTGTTTAATAAATAAGAAAAATGATATATTAATTAATATAATTTTCATTTTTTTTTTTTTAAGTTAGATATCTTTATTAGTACATTTCGATAATATCCAATCATAAATATACCGACTGAAGATAATATATAATATTTAAATTTCACAATAATTTTATTTATTTTGAAATATTATAACGACAAACTTATTTATTATATTACTTACTCTGTACAGCGATTATCAAAAAAATTTTATTTAAGTTAACATAACTATATTATTAAGAGTGGCATCTAGTCAACAAATCCATGGACACTAACTCGAACAGTTTAATCCAGGTATCCAAAAGAAGAAATAAAAAAGCAAATTAATTAAATGAACAGTGTTAATTAATAAAAAAAGAAAGAAAATAATTCATATACATTTTATAAATTTTACAACATTTTTTTTTGTGCAACTTTTTTTTATATTTAACTTGGCCAACTTAGTAGAGTATATATGATCTCGGTCCATGGATAATAAATCTAGTCTACGATATTCTGAAGAAAGCGAAAAAAAAATCAAGATTAAATCCAAAATATAATTAATAATTAAATATATATATAACTTAACTTAAAAATATCTTATCATAATTTAAAATAAAAATCTTTATCATAGTTTATAATTTAATAGCAAGATATACTTTATAAGTGTCTTACGTATGGTAAATTATATATTAAAGTAGATTTTATAAGATAATTTATAAAATATTTAATGAACTAAATTTGTAGTATAAAAATTTAGAATGTAAGTAAGATAATTATACTACTTGTACTTCATTATATTTTTTTTTTTATTAATAATTTATTAATAATAATTTGCTGTGTTGTGTGCTGTATGTTTTTGTCAAATATTTATTTATCAAATATCTAATATGGTAATATATATATAATTTTTTTGCATATTTATTGACATTATATTTGTGTGTCGTATTATTTATATATATTATTATATATATTATTTATTATATATTATTATATTGTGTGTGTGTATTATTTTTATATTATATTATTAATAATTAAAATTATAATCAATAGTTTTGTTCTCAGAAATTATGATTTCAATTAAAATTCATAATATCCATCTATATTAATAATCATATTTTTGTAATTGGTATAAACAATTTTAATATAAAAAATTAATTTTTTTTTGTAATATCCAAATATCGAATAAAATTTTAAACCTCAAAAGCATATTTATTTATTTTTGGGTTATTGCCATTTTCCTTGTTACATTTTAAGTAAGTATTACAAATAATTTAAAAAATATATATATAATACTATACTAATATTATACTTTTATGAAATTTTGTGTCATATAATTAAAATATCGATTTTTAAAAAAAATTTTATTAAATTCGTTACTTAAATTAAAAAGTTTTAAAATTATATATTATTGTATTTTTATTTTATTTAATGAATCAAATGAGATTATAATATATATATATCATTATTTATTAAATCATAATATAATCAATATAACAAAAAAATAGAACTCAATAAAATTTATTTTTCTCGAAATAACTTTATTTATTTCGAATTGTTTGGTTATGTGAAAATTGTATATATATTTTTTCGAATTTAATAAAATAATTTCATAAAATTTAATTAAAAAATGCAATTAATAATACAAAAAAATGATAATATTCACGATTATTTTTATAAATAATTTAATATTTTTCATATTTAATTTCTAAATATTATATAATATTATTGAAAAATCAATAAATCAAATTATTTTCTAACTCCTCTAATATTGATAAAATAGAATTAAATAAAGTTATAAAAAATTTAATTAATAGATAGTTTTTAGACTTTCTTTTAACATAGAATTATAAATACTTATTGAATTAAAAGTTTCTTTTTTTATTGGATCATAATTACCACGTTCTTTTTCTTTGGTAATAAATTCTTCAATATTTTTATGTTCTTTTTGCAATTTTTCTACATTATTTTCCAGTGCACTAACTTGAACATATATATCATTATTTTCTAAACGTTGTTTTATTTCATTATATTCTGATTGAATTGTTTTAATCTCTTCTTGTTCTTTTTCTTGTTCATGTTTCAATTGTTCACATTCTGCTATTAATTGATCTTGTTTTAGTGTCAATTTAGTTTTCAAAGTATCTAAATCTTCTATAATTATTGACTTATTTTCTTTGTCACTCATTTTTTCATTAAACTCAGCAAATTCTGCTTTAAGTTTTTCTTCTAATATTTGCATTTTATTAAAAATTTGTTGCAACTTTAAATTTTCTTTTGTTAATTTTTCAAAATTATAATCCTTGTTAATATATTCATATTCATTGAAAGATGGTAAACTATTAAGAATAGCCATTTCATCATTTCCTATAAAATCAATATCAATATTTAACATATTCGAAATATTTTCTAAATATTCAACTATTGTATTCTCTAATTTATGCAATTTTTTAGTTTCATCTTCTTTATTTTGATCAAAAGAACTCATAAATTGTTCTATAGTTTCTTCTCGTTTACGAAGCTCGTTATATTTAATTTGTTTTTCAGATTGAGTATCTTCTATATCTGCTTCTAATTGTTCAAGTTTTTGTTCTGTTTCTTGAATTTGTTTTTTTTTTTCAGATAATTGAGCTTCAGCAGCTGCAATATTCATATTATCTTGCTTAATTTTCTGTAATAATTTTTCTTTTTCTTCTTCTGGTGAAATTCTTTGTTTCTCTTCTTCTTTTAACTTATCTCTTTTTTCTTCCATTTCTATTATTTTAAGATGTAATTTAACTGCTTCCTGTTTCAAAGGAGATAATGTTATTTCTTCTTCTAAATAAACTTGTTCTTTGTATAATTCATCCAATTTTTGTTGCAGTTCATTTGCTTTTTCTTCCACTTTTATTTTTTCTTTTAATAATTCATCATATTTTTCCTTCATATCAGAATCCATACTGTCTATAAGTCGTTCTGTTTTTTTCTTTTCATCTTCTAATTGTTTTTGTATCTTTGTTAGTTTTTGTTCTAATTGTTTTCTTTCTTCAAACATATTTTCAATTCTTGATAAAATTTCTTCATTTTTTCTAGCAAGTTTTTCAGTTTCTTCTTCAATAATTTCTTTTCCAATATCAGATGTCATTTTATCTACAATGATATTATAATCAGCTAGTTGTCCTTGCAAAGCTGTTAACTCCATAGCCAAATCTTTGGCTCTTTTATCATAATGCAGATAAGTAGCTCTTTCTTTAGTTTGATCTTCAATATCTTTCATAATAACAGCAATTTCTTGATTTAATTCTCTAATTTTTAATTGCATAAGTCCATTATAATATCTTTTATCTTGAATTTGTCTAAAAATAGAAAATTTAAATTAAAAAATAACAAAAGGAAAAATTTGATGTTTAAGTTATTATTATCACAATGATATATTTTATTTTAATTAATAACTAATTTAAAAAAAAAATTAAATATAAAAGGAGAAATTTACATACCTAGTCATTGATAAATTTTTACCAGTTCCAGGTCTAAGACCTGCCACTCCATGTTGAGTGATTGGTCTTTCCAAAATATTTATATTCATTTGACCAGACAAAGGAAATGCAATATTACATGTTCCAGAATTATTTGAATTAATTGTATTTAAACGTGAATTACCAGTTGATACTTGATTGAGCGCAGCAAAGGATGATGGTGGTCTTGCCAATACATTTTGACCAGGTGTGCCTGGACGAGTATTCCCAGAAAACTCTACTGATTCATTTTTTGTTCCTTTATAAAACCTTTCAAATTTATTTTGTAATACAGCAGTACTAGTTTGTGGTCTTTGCATTATATTGATCTATTTAAAACACTTTTTTTCTTTATTGAAAATATTTTTGATATGAATTAGAGTAGTAGTTTGCATAGATATTTAATTAGTTGGTACTGTTTAGTTAAAGTACATTATAACCCGTTTGTTTTCTACTTGGTTGTCATAGAAACTAATTCATAGAATCTATATAATTCCAAATTAATTTAGATATAAATTATAAAATTATTTACTTTATAATTTATATATAATTATACGAAAAAAATATAATTTTAAATGATACTATAAAATTACATTATATTACAAGAATCTGTATAAAAAATCAAGACATAGAATAAATCTAATTTTATGTCCAATGTTTTAAAATATCGATTGCGCAAAAAATCAAAATATTTTGTGCGATTTACAGCGGTGAATTATATTTTAAAACAAAAATTATTGAAATCAATAAATTTTAAAAATAATTTCTTTGACACATTCTTTGAAATATTCTTATATATTATATTAAGATATTATAATATAATATATAAGATATATAAGATATTAATATAATAAATTAATTATAATTTAATACTTATTGATAATTATTAATAAATTTAATAATATTAAACTTTAATATTATTAAATTTATTTAATAGTACATACATATTGCATTATAAATGTTAACATTTATTATTTATTACAAATAATAAAAACATTAATTTAAAATTTTTACGAGTTTTAATCATAAATTGCCAATAAATTGGGCAAGCGAGACAATAAAGTTATTTTTTATATGCATAAATTTTGCAAAAAAGATATAAACAAAGAAATCAGATAGTCAGATAAGAATAGAATGGATAAAAATATTGAAATAAGTGCCATCTTCAGAATATCAAATGAAACAGGAAATGCATGTATGAAAAGAAAAGGAAATAGAGAGAAAAAGAAAATATAAAAAGAATTAAAAAAAAAATATAAAAAGACAAACGTTATCTATTGAAATTCAAAAATATCTCTTTATATCTCTGAAATTCAAAAAACAGAGTAAAGTAGAATAAAAATTGAGAGTGCCATTTAAGTGTTTTTAGAGAAATTTTAAAAAATGATGAAATCCAAAAGATGGCGCTGATTGTCAATTCTTATTCTATTTCATTCTCCTATTCTATCTTTTATTTCATTTGCAAGATTAGAGATGACACTGATTTCAATATATTTATTCTTTTCTCATTTTTGCTCTATACTTGTTCTTGGTATGTGATTATAGATGGTAACAAATGTCATTTCTCTTTCAAAATTATAATGTAATTTCAATCTTTAATGTAAAAATATATATATATATTTTACAATGTATTTCTAAAATGATAAAACAATATATAAGTTTTGCGGGTATTTTGATATGAGCATTTTGACGATAAAAAATCATTTAACGATAAAAAAATATTTTTTTTTTATTTGTAATTTTATATTAAAATTTAATTTCAATTTTAATCATTATTAATGTTACAATCTTATTCCAAACCGAGCCTTATGAAAATATCTGTAATTTTTAAAAAATAATTTACTTTATTTAATACATTAATTTATTTTAATTAATTATTTTTCCTTATTTTATACTTTATCTATATTTTTTACTTTGTCGTTATTGATCTTTATTAAAATAATTGATGAAATGAAAATTCAAATTTTTAGTTTAATGAAAGAATGGAAGATGGCAGTAGGTTGTCGTTATCTCAAATAAAGTAGTTGCTAAGCAACAAAAGTGACGCGGCGTGTTAGCCAAGTGGCAAAGCACGATGGTGACGGCGACGACGATGGTGACGGCGGTAGCGACGCCGGTCCCCCCAAACTCGAATTAATATACGGGAGTCCAAGAATATCTTCAGTGTGCCTCGGGATAGCCAGAAACCAATCGGCGTTACCACAGTAACCCGCGTTGCAGCTAAGTTCCCCGTGGCATCGCGATTCGTCCCGTCGACATATAAACGTCCGCCACTTACTCATTTTATACACGTTCGTTCACATTGGCATTTCTTTTCAACTTGCCTTTTCTTTTGCCTTTTCCTTCTCCTTTCTTTGCTCAATAGGCCGTAGTTGTATGCACGGCTGGCCACATGTACCTAGTGATAACACATCTAGTGCAGATCATAGAAAGGTATCAACGCTGCCCGATAAACCGGTTTTACCGCAACCAAGCGGTGACCTCCTCGTGCTCGAGAATGTTTTAAACTGTGACAAATATTTTGTGCTCACGTTCATAGAAACTGTTGGCTTGTACATACGTGAACACGAAATAACAACCCCAGAGTTGTTTTGAAATCGAGACGCCGTTACTATACTGCGATGGACGAAGAAGAAATTGACGGCGTGAAGTCGCCCATCAAAAGGCTTGGCTCCACGCGGAAGCTGCTTGTCTTTAATAGTAAGTTGTAACCACACATTTTTTATTTTTTTCTTTTTCTATTTTATTTTCTCTTATTTTTTACGTATTGCTCATTTATATATTTATTTTTCTTTCTTTTTATTTATAAAGAAAGTTAATTTTTTTAATTGGTATATTTTTTATCAATCGTAAATAAATAATTGTTTATTATAATGAGCAAAATTCTTATTTTTATTATTATAATAATATTAATATTAAACTAAAAAATTAAAAATAATTTTTTAAATAATTTTTTATCAATGAAGTTTTTTATTTATGAGATTTAATTTACAAAATTATTAAAATTTATTTTGAGACGCTATTGTTATCATATCCTTTAATAAAGATATAGATTTAACTTTTTGGTTTGAAATTTATTCGTTGCATATTTAAAAGTTGATTTATTTCGATAAAATTTGTTTCATCGTCCATTGGGATATTATAATTCGATTAACTGAAAAAATGCAATTTGTTTCATTCATCCATCGATAAAATAGTGAATATTGTTTTTTTTTTCTTTTTTTTTTTTTCTTTAATATAAAAAACATTTTTTTAACATATTTGATGTATTAGGAATGTGTAAAAAAAATATAGCAACTATATAGTTAGCAGATGTTAGAAAATCTCATAATATACAACCGACGATACATTTTAAAGAATGACACACTGTGTCGATGTTTTTATGTTGAAGATGCTGTTTATTTATGCACTTTTTTGATCTGCGATGTTTTTGTAAAAAAAAAATTCTTATTTATTTTTTTATTACAGCATTGCTCAATTATTATTATATATCAATAATAAATATTCAAAAATAATAGAATTATGTTTTCATATCTATTATAATAAAATGATCATAAAATTTATGAAACCTAAGAAAAAAATTTTTAAAATATTAAGTTTTATAAATTTACGATATTACAAATTGTCATTATCAATTTGAAAACTATTGCATAACCAAGAAATTATTATATTTTTTGTGAATGTATTCGAAAATTGCGATTTCAATTATCAGTATATTATTATATTAATATATATTTATATTAATGATTAATTTTATGCTTTGTATAAAATTATGATCTTAAAATTCTTAAAAAAAATTTTCATTATTTTGATTATAAAATTTTGTTATAACAATATATAATTTATTAGTAATCAAGTTTATAATTTATCTTTTAACATTATACATATATTATGTATAACATTATACATATATACATTTATACATTATACATATATATATTTATTATAATATTTAAATTTTTAGAATAAATTTTAATTAGTTAATTATTAATAACTTTATTAAGGAAAATCTTTGCAAATATTTGAAAGTTTTGAAATGAACGAAACAATGTTTCACTTGATCAATGAACGATCGTTATTCGATGGAGTAAATGAGGTGCTTGCACGTCTCTCGATTGAAATGTTGGCGCGTCGCATTTGAAATTGCTTCGTCTGCATATTAAAAGTCGTGAGAAGTAACAGGGATAGGTTTCACGGTATTCTACATTCTATATTCATGCAAAAATTCTTATTTATTGGATTAAATATATCTCATTTTTCCATCTAAATATGTAATTCTAATAAATCTTCTAATTCTTCTAATATAATTATTAATTATTCTTCTAATAATATATATAATACTTTAGTATAGTTTTATTAAATTAAAAAATAAATTTCATTATACTTATTATTATTATATTATTAAAAATATATTACATATTATTATTATATTATTAAAAATATTTTTTTTTATAAATATATCTCTGACTTAATATCGTGAACAAAATAACAATGCTTTTATAATTTTTAAAATTATTTAATTTCGTATCAATGTATCCTAAAACATATATTCATAATCTATTTGATTAAGAGTTATCAAAAAAATATACATCGGATGCCCATCCCTGTTTCCGTTTACAAACTTTCAAGGTTGTTTTTATTTTATTTTAACGCGTATTCCATCTCCATCCCCTCTATTTTCCTCCCACTATGTATATAATACCTCCCCCGTTGAACACGTTCACAGAGTACACTTTCAGATACGAACGTCTATATATTCTTTCATACTGTGTAACGCATGCGCACATTCTCATTGTTCGCCGCAACTCCTTCCATACGGTCATGCGTGACTGCGTCGACCGTTTCCTCTATGCATTTTGATTTTTGTGTTTATATCCATATGGTTGCAACATTGGATGTTTTAAAATCGATCTTAGTGACCTATCGTTATATAGAGTTTGCCAATAAAGTTAGTTGATAAATATGCAGACTTATTTGTTGAATATTTTAAGATTTTATAAATAATACATATAAAAATAAAATTTATCTAATAACTCGATATGCGATATATATATATATATGTATATGTCGCTTTGATTAATTATTATTAATTGGCATATAATTTATTCATGTAAAAGAGATAATGAAAATAATAATTCCTCAGAAATTATTATCAAAGTTTGTCATTTTATGAGAATATCTTGAGATATTTACATTTGTATAAACATTTTTTAAAAATATATTCACATTAATTTATAATATAAATTTAAATGTTTAAAATAATTTTTTTATATAAATTTAATAAAAATATCACACTTAAAAAAAATATGATATAAATTGACCAGAAAAAAAATCTGAATAAAATATAATAATAAAAAAAAAGATATTTCCTGTTTTGTGCAACAGATGTTTTTACGAACAGATCATTTTTAAAATGTCAAAGAAGAGTATCTATTTCACTTAGTGAAAGATATATGTATCTTCTTTCACATGGATATTATTGCAATGACGCATTTTATTTAAATATTTTTTAAAAATTATATTTTTAATATTTATTATCACATAATTGAATATATTTTTTTTTTTACATTTATTATTAATCAAAGCGAAAAGAATAAGAAAGAGATATTTTGAAAAATAAAAATACAAAAAAAAAATCTTGTTAAAAAGAAATTATTTTACTATTTTTCAAAAATTTTCATTGATATTTTTTATTTTGATTTTCTCGATTTACAAATATTACGAATTTTGGTTTGAACCTTCTAAACTGCTGTCGTAGAACACACGCCCGACAAAAAAATTACAGAGTATAATTTTTTTACGTGCATACATGTGTAACAAGGCTATTCGTTTTAATTCAGCTTATTGATGAAAAAGTTCCGTCAGGGTAAAGAGAAGGAATTACAAGGAAATAATACATTCCCCATCTATATCATTGTTAGATTAATTGTGGCATGTGTAAATTTTAATCTAGATACATGATGTTAATTATTGAAGTAAGCCTTTAATTGAGATAAATCATTGAAAAAAAAATTGAATAATTTCATCGTGATAACAATTGAATGTCATGTATATAAAATATGGATATATTTATAATTTTTTTTTTTTTTTTCAAAAAACAATTATGTATGACATAAAAATCACAGTTAATTCGATAGATTTTAAACCTGCAGGATTTGAAAATGTCACGAGTTATTCAGAATCACTAACAGAGTTCGTTAACGAAATAGCAAAGCAATTGCAATGGGATTATACTACTGACATTTAATATCGTATAAGAAATAATATATACATAAAATACAGTTTAAATTAATATTATTTATCATAGATTGATAAGATGATTTCATATTTTTGATATCGAAAAAAAAATATAAAAAATGGAATTTTAAAAATTTAAATTTTATCAGTAAAAAATTATAAAAAAATAAAATAATATTAAAAGAGTCAGAATCGAATTTTTAAAAAATGGAATTGTTTGAAAATATGTACAATTAAATTTATTATAATAGTGTGCATATGATGATTTATATATTTTTTAAAGTTTTTTTATATTTTACTTTACTAAAAAATAAAAAATAAAAAATCGTATAAAAAAATTCTTTTAATTCATAAATAAATTTAAAAAGTTGACGACAACTTTTGGATAGGTACTTGATAAGAAGGCCAAGTGGTATTGAATTTATATGCTTATCTGGATGAAGGTCGCGAAACCCCGAACGATCTGTGGCTTTAAAATAGCGATACTACGTAATGATCACATGAATAGAGTTCAGTTTTAGAATAGTACACGCTGAATGAACTTTGTCTACTATAATTATCTACCAATTCTGAAATGTTTCTTATTAAAATTAGTAAACCAGTAATAAAAATTATAGCTACTATATTATAAAAATAATTATAAATATCAAATTGTATAATTATAAATATCAATTATATAAATAGAATTAGTTAATTTAATTTAATATAATAAATACTATAAAAATAATTTATGTTGTATAAATTTTCATGGGAAATAATTTAAAATTTAAAAGAAGAAACGAGATATTGTCGACGATGCTTACCATAAGGTTAGCGGCATCAATGAAATGGCGCGGTATCTCATTGAACCACTTGGCTGACTCAGCCAATTGCGAGTATACTAAGTTCAGAGTGCATTTTTCATAAGTGTTTTTTATGACTTTACAGATTTAAATTTACGTGATTATATCTTGAAAACAAATATACATGAAAAATAACATAAATAAAATAATACCATTCAATTTATTTTATCGGTCATTTGAGAATAAATTTAAATGATAAAATAATTTAGTAAAATAGATATTTTTTGAAATATAATATTCTTCTTATATAAATGAAACTTATATGATCGTGCAGATATAATTTCTTTTTTATTTCTATATGAATGTAAAAATAAAAATTTATTGATTGAAAAAAAATTATAAATAAAAATTTATTGAATATAGTATATAAGTATGATAAAATCGATTTGTATAATTTTGTGAAAAGGAAATTTAATTATAATTTGGAAATTAGGTAACAGATGACGCTGATTGTTCTATATTACGTAAATTTCATTTTAGTAAAATAATATTAAAAAAATTAAATTTAAATGAAAAATACTTTTTATTGCTATATTGAATTTATTTTGTTATATTTTTATAAATAAAAAAAAATAAAACACATATTGACTTGTAAATTCAGAATTTAATAGTTGATATAATCTCTAAAATAATTTTATTTAAAAAACTAATAGTGTAATTATATATGCATATAAAGTATAATTTTTATGCTTTATTTATCATTAATTGTGTTATTTATTATTTTTATAAAAGCTTGGAATGTTAAAAATTAAAAATAGATAAAAAAAACAATTTGAATATGTTTTTTTTTGATCAAAGAATGAAGTAAGGGAAGAAGAATGCAGAAAAACTAACAGTGGTAGCAATCTGATGATAAACTAACCCGATGGTAAGATGATCTGAGTGCCCTCGAAGTGGCCGATGAAAAGCAATTTGTTCATTTAGTGCCGAGAGTACATGACCCTATGAGCAAATAAGATCCACTTTTATATCAAGTATAATCCTTCTTTACTGCACTCTTAAATTTATACTTTTTAAAAATGAATATTTACCAATTTTATAACATCAATCAAATTATATTTCTTCGAAAATATATATGAATTATATAAAATAGATCCTATTAAAAATTGTAAAAATCATAATTATCATGATATGAAAAATAATTAAATCATTTTAATCATCATTTATTCTGATAATTGAACAAAACATGATGAATTTTATTTTAGAGCTTATTAATGAGTTTTTGATTATTGATTTTTGATTACAATTATTTTGTAATTGTAAGAAAAATGATCAAATAGGTTAGTTACAAATCTCGGTCGGTCAAGTGGCACGCATAACTGAAATATAACCTACCGAAAAGATTAAGTATTTGTTGACTAAACAAAAACTACGATTAAGTAGATTACCTCTTATGTTGTATAATAAGTGTATATCGCGTGAAATAACCGCGGCAAAACGAAGAGTGATGCGTTTCCACGTGATGAGACAACGAGTAGGCAGAGACAGGACAAGCGGACGAGAATACGCGCGTAGAGAGTAACGTATATATACATACACGGTGGACACGTGCACTCCGTTTGATCAGAGTCACAGTCACGGTCACGCTTCGAGGGTTGGACGAGCCTATATAGAACACCACGGTGGGAGACCCGGTGTACAACGTATAACCATGCAGTTAGAAAGACGAGGAGAGAAACAAAAGCGGTGGCGCGAGTAACCACTCATTGATTCCCCTACCAACGGCGCGGTCATCTCTTTTGCACCATTTTGCTTCACTTTATTGCCATTATTTTATCTCTTTTCCTAACGTCTCTTTTCTGCCTGACATCTCATTAACTCTCTTCCTCTTCAAATAATGGTTATCTCGTTCGTTTTTTATCTGTCTCTGTCGCTCTTGCACGTTTATACGATATATGATGCTTTCCGCTCAACGCTTCTACAACGGTATTACGCGATTCAGTTGATTTCGAAACGGTGCATCGAGAGCGCGGAATTTCTCTCGTATATATAATCGGTTTCCTACAAACTCGTCCCCTTTTCCATTTACAAGTGAAACGCTTTCAATGTAGAAAGTTCTCGACGATTCTGCTTCGAGTATTCTTTTTTTCGTTTTTTTTTTTTTTTTTTCTTCTTTTCTGCAGTTTCCTTTTGCACCAGTCTTACGATTCGTTCTTCGTATCGCAGAATTGTCATATCTACTACTGTGAGAATCACCGTTTTGAGGACGTGCCAGTGCTTCACAATGGGGAAAGCAAAATGCGCCAAGAAATAAAATAATCACACTCAAGTGTTCCATTTTGACTTTTCTTCGCCATTTTGATTTTTTATAATCCAATTTTCTATAAGCAGCTTATGTTTTACATATTATTATTCTTCATAATATTTTCCTATTTAATCTTTCAATTTTCAGTTTTTCAAAATTTTGTAAAACATTGATATTATTCTCTCAAATTCAACGTCGAAAGTTGTTTCTACACTTTCTCGCACTTTTCTTTTTTGTTTAAATCTCTGATAAATTTAGATAATGAACGGGAGATATAACGTGCCAACATTCCATGCCAATACAATGAACATTTTATCATAACTGATCATGCACGAAAATACGATAATGCATTATCAACAATTAGAAGCATGTAAGCTATATTATCATGCAATAATCAAAATAGTGTATTATAAGCTAAAGCTAATAAATTTAAATTAATAATAACTTTTTTACGCATAATAAAAATCAACAATGAAATAAAGAACAATAATATATGCAATTTTTATTTCATCGAAGAAATCTTTAAAAACCTTAAAACATCTTTATGATCTTAAATTTTATATTACATAAAGAAAAAGAAATAAGAAAATTCAATTTTGATCGAGTATCGTATTTTCGAAACACGATGGTAGAGATCGTTGCGCGGTCTGCCTAAAGTCATCGGCCAAGGTATATATATGAGAGAATCTTCTGCGCGTTCCCGGAGTATGCAGGGGGTGGCGAGTCGACAGATCGAGAGAGAAAGAGAGAGCGCTAGAGGAACCGGTGTGTATGTGATGTGCTGCTGCTGCTGCTGCGACTCTTCAGTGTGAGAACGAGAGAGAGAGAGAGAGAGCAATGATAACCGATGAAGAGATGGAAGAAAGAGTGAGCGCGCAGAGCGAACGCGAGAGAAGCACCGGTACAGAACTGAGTGACAGAGAAAGGAACAGAGGGATAGAAAAAGAGGAATGGACAAAGAGAGAATGAGTGTAAAGGGAGGGGAGGCGGCGTGCGCGTGCGAGAGAGATAGAAAATCCGGTTGCCTGGCGACGAGCCATCTAGTTCGATCCCAGCCAGCCGACCAGCCACCCTCTGGGCGCAGGAGCAACGAGAAAAGGCGACTACCTTTTGCCTTCGTTTCCTTTTTCTTGTCATTCTTAACTTTCTTCAATCGCGCCTTTGTTTCCCTGGTCTGGTACATAATGAAGAATTTTCTTGTTCAATCCTTGTTCTTTTTTGTATTAACAGAATAACGTAGTGTATGAACGAATATCGGTGATAGGTTTCGATTAATTCGGGAAGAGAAAAGTGCACACGTTTCAAGGCCGAAACGAGCGGTCGGTTGGTCGATCGGTCGAGTGCGTTGCGTGTAAGCGCGTGTGATGTGTTGAATGGTGAAAAGATCGTTTTGAATAGTGTTTCGTTTTGTCACGAAAGGATGAGAATGGTTCTTGAAATAGAGAATCATCGTGGAGGGAGGCAGATATAAAAAGAAGAAATCAAGAAACGGAAGAAGAAAGAGTGGTCCATTATCGGAGACAAAGTAAACGGTCGAATCAGAGAAAGACACATAAAGACACGGTGTGTGCACATATGTATATAGTGAATATACACACATGTTCGAAGAAATAAAAGGGTATTTCGAGATGATGTGAAATTGATAATAAGATGATTCACGGTTTTTATCATAAGATGGAGATCAATCAAATTTTCAATATTGTTCTTCGATGGAACATTACAATAATGCGGAGAAATGTTTGCTCGAAATAAAAATGTGCACATTTTTCAAGTTGTTAGGGCATTACGATAACTTGAATCCATGCCGATTAATCGAATCGTGAATCGAATTGATTCTACAATTGACAAAAAAGAATTAAACTGTTCCGGTAATGGTGATACATCACCAGAGGAACTTTCTACGAAGAAGTGCGAGGATCTTATCTATAGAAATAATCTTAGAAATTTTATGCGTTTGATCGAATCAAGTTTCGCTCCAGATAACCGCTGAACGATAATATTAATCGATAATCAACGAAAAACTCGACTTTACTCGATAATTTATATATATTTTAGGAATATTTTTAAAAAAGAACAGAGGCAAAAGGTGGCCCATTGAAAGAACTTGCCAACTATAACGGATCTCGTGTCTTTTTTCATCCTGTTTCCCATCTTTCTTCGTTACTCTTGTTACTCTCCCTCTATCCTTTTTACTCTGTCCCTCCCTCTTCCTCTCTCTCTCTCTCTCTCTCGCGCGCGTTCTTGCTCTTGCTCGTTACAGCCGATCAACGCGAATCGAGACCTACGCATAGTCCAGCAATATGTTCCAGTGCATTATTCAGCAGAGGAACGGATGGATTCATCCTTATAATCCCGACACTAAGGACGTTCTTCCAGGTATGGTTCATTAGATTCAAATGCGTTCGCTTTTTTTTTTTTCTAGAAGTAGTTGGAGATGAAAGCATCACATATTAAGTATATAATAGTATGATCTATATTTTTTCTTTAGTAATAATTCGATAAGTAAAATAGAGCAATAGTTGTTTAATCTAACCTATGTAGCTAGTTATTCATTATTCTTTTATGTATTAATCAAATTGTTTATGTTCAAATAATCATTATCTCAAATATTCTGTAGGATGCCATCATTCCTCTTCATTGTATTCACATAATCTCTACATATTATTTAGGTACATTGATTCCATTGATTTTTTGTTTCCATTGATTTTTAGATATTGTACATTTTGGTTACGAGATTTTTTTGTGCATTATATCATTCCACAATTTTGCTATGATACATTCACACAATGTGTGCGTTATACAATACATATTGGAAATTCTAGATAGGCAAGGACATTTAATGCCGGTGTAGAGTTGTGCGAACATTCGTTTAAATGTATAGAATTTCTCGTCAAGTTACTTGGAACCTTAGAAAAGCGATGCAATGTTGAGTTATAAAAAAAGATCTTATTGGATCAGCATCATCAAATAAAATATCAATGAATAGAATTTATTTATATTTATAATGATATTATATAATTCAGAATATATATATATATATTTGTTAGAAATAAAAATTCTAATTAGTTGATTATAAAATATTAAATGTAGAAGCAAATATTATTTTTTTGAAAATCTTTTAAAATCTTTATTAATCTTTTGAAAATATGTATAATTAATTTTTTAAATTTCACGTCTTTCATCTTACGGCTTAATAACGGAAGTCGAATTATTAAATTATAAAAAAATTATCTGAAATCTTCGAGTATAATTAAATTTTAGAATCAAAAGAGTTTGATCGTAAGTAATCGCATTTAGCAAGGATAATTACGACTTTCATTTCGAGCTTTGTCTCCGTCGTTTCTTTTGAAGTGATTAGGAGGAACATCAAGATATGTTCTTATGGTCGTTTCGCGCTCCTGCTATTTCTTTCTTTTACTTATGTATCTGCCTCTTCTTAGAGTTGAATGCACCGCAAATGGTATTCTTGATTCTTTGTACCAGTGTATGTTTTTTTTTGCGTCGATTGGATTCTCAGATTAAACGAAGTTTTCTATTCGTCGCTACTTATCTTTTCCCTTACATGTTAATTGGAAAATGCCAATGCCGTAGAGTGAGAGATAAATAGATAGATAGATAAATATGAGAGAGAGAGAGAGAGAGAGAGATTGTTAAATACATGACGTAGAGTAAATTAATATGAGACTGTATTAGCATTATTTGATTAAATTCATTATTTATTTGTTACAAATAAATAAATGCGATTTAAAAATTATTATTTAAATATTTTATCTTTTTTACTTTATTTAATAATAATTACTTCTACATTTTACAAAAATACAAAAATTTGTATTTATCATATTTAATTATCTAACAAAAAAACAAAGCTTATAATTTTTTCTGAAGTCAATGTATTATATTAAATATTTGTTAAAATTGAAAGTCAATTATTTATTATAATTATCTTATTATGAATAATGAAGAAAACAATGAAAAATTGAATCTTTGAGATGTAATAAAAATTATTACATCATCAAATTATTACATAATATAAAGTAAATAAGCATTTTGATATTGAAAATTAATAACTTTTTCGAATTTATATTTTTAAAAAATCTTACTCTTTAAAGCATTCATTCTTTCAAGTTATAAATTTACAAAATTATTTTATATTAAAGGTTTTTAATGCTTTATTTAACTTTTTGTGTTATCTAAAAATATTATTCAGAGGATTAATTAATTATTGTATTATGAGTCACTCTCCAATTTAATAATCTGTATTTTATTGTATCAGCATGTTATCAAACTTCCTTTTACTAGAAAAATAATCTTTCCAATAACATAATTAAACTTTTTTGAATTATTATTTTCGATTATTAATGATAAAAATAAATCTAAGAAAATTTGAAATTGCTTTTTTCTTAAATGCAATGATTTAAGAAAAAGGGCACTTTTTTTTAAATCATTGGTGAGTATAAAGGCGAGCATTGCACCAGAACAGAATTACGTCGTGTTCTTCGAATAAATTCGTTCCTACCATATGGCATACGAACTCTAGTAGTTAACTTCCGGTCGATGTGTAAAGGTCCCCCATACCATGCAACAGAGAAAATCAAGGGGTTCCATATGGCTTCCTTGTTGGTCGGAACTTCTAATCTGTTTTTACGATTAAAGAATTATATGCATACATGTATATTTGGATGTTTTAAAAAAATAAATGATCAAAATTTTTTTAATTTTTTAAAATTTTTAATTAAGCACGAAATTTTTAATAATAATTTTGAAAAAAAATTAAATTATTTAAGTTTTATTATTTATGATAATTATTATGTTATAGTTATTATTTAAAAAAATATTACGATTATTATACGATTGATTACAAATTTTAAGATGATAGATACACAGAATTGAATTTGAATTTTTTTAATCTTATTTCAATTTATGTTTCTTTTTTAAAATAAATTATGTGGTTCTCTTCATTGTTATTTTTCATATTTTTTTATTAAAATGTCAATATTTTTAATAATTTTTGCCATTTTATATGATATTCTACAGCTTTTTTATTTCTTTTTCTCTCTTCTCTTTTGTCTCTTCTCTCAATTTCAATTTTTACACATATAAAAAAAAAGACAATAATAAAACATAATAAATTCATTTTAAACATTTCGCGAAAAATTTTTAGTAATATTGAAAATTCAAAAAAACAGGAAAATAAAAATTTTGAAAATTTTTTTGATTATAGCATATATTGCCAATAAACGTATTTATTATATTTTAGTAGAGTATTTATATTTTAATTAAAAGCAGATTTAAATGAAAAATTAAAATGATCTCAAGAAAAATTATTTTTCACATAAAATTAAAATTCATCATAATTGAAAATTTATATAATATGATTATTTATACAAATATAATTAAATATATATAAAAATATAAATTATATAAAATAATTTTTACATTTATTTCAATGTTCTTTAATTTTAAAAGATTTTATCTTAGATATAATTATATGTTAAGGATTTAGAATCAAATCAAATTTATTTTTCATAAGAAGAAAATTAAAAAGAAAATAATAAAAATTTTGATTTACATGTATATTTTGAAATTCTAGAACATAATAGAATCTATGCTTGAATTATTTATTAATTTATTATTAATTTATTATTAATTTATTATTAATTTAACTATTAGCCATAAGATTTGTCAAATTGACGGCCATTTCGTTAAAAATCGATTTATATGAATTCTTAACCTACGTTTTAATGCATGGTTGCGACGATTCGTTTAAGAGGGCGTGACGGTCGTAACATAAATCTTGATAATTGACGAGGCGAATCCTTGTGCGAAAGAGAACTTAATCATTAATTTTTGTAGCAAGACTGAGACATTTATCTCACTATCTTTTTCACCTGCTGTTATAGTGATAGTCTTCAATTCACTACGTACACGTTACGATATAATTATATACATAAAGGAACCGGTATGCATTGAATTTGAGATAACGAAAAATGAACTGAACCGACCACGATGCAATAGCCATTTGACGCTTCCCTTCAATTCTTGCAGGAAGGAAGTTGATAGAGAAACATTGCACTGCATATCAATTTATGCGTACGGCTCGTGCGTGAAGATTTTTCTCCTTCCATTTTGTCTACAATGTTATGTTTTAATCTTATATTTACCTATTTATTTCTTTTTTAAAGCTGTATTTGAATATACTTATATCTTATTCCTGAAAAATTAATATTACTTTTCCATTATAAGAAAGAAGAAAATCTTAACAATGAATGGATATAGTATAAAAAATAATACGACCACGATTCTAAATTATTATTTTTTGCGTTTTATGTTTCGTCGACAGTGTACAGTGTAATCGGATACAAAAAAAAAAAAATTAATTCAATAAAGCTATCAACTGTTTGTATGCATGACGTGTTCATTTGTGTGACGGTATCGCGAATGATAACGTGGTAATTGACAACTAACTTGTTAATTGTTGTCATTCATCCCTCTCCTCCCAAATTTGCTCGAACTGAATCACGTAGATATTTCACCATTGTTCTGAATATTGTTCAACGCCATCTAAACTCTTGAAATTGAACTCATTACAGGAGCAAAATCTTTTTCCTGATAGAATAAAAAAATATATATATATAGCATAAAAATATATATTATAAAAAAAATATATTAGATATAAAAAATTAATTTAAAAAAAAATTATTTTGCTCTAATTATTTTTTGTAAACAAAAGCTCGTTTTTATGAGTTGTATTGATACTGATATCCTTCTTGATAAGATTTGTCTAACCGCGATTATATTTGTATTATTGTTACGAGACGCCAGACCAATGTTCACTATTAAACATTCATATCTATAAAATGTAATTTAAACTATGAATATTGATTTATTTAAATTTAGATCATAAAATATAGATCAAATATTCTGCTCTGAGTATACAAATATTTTGAATAGCAAAATATTCTTGAATGAAATATGAAAGATTAAAAAGCAATAACATATTACAGTCCATTTAGTTACTTTTAATTTGTTGAACATAATAATGTATACAGCAAGAATATTTTTTCAATACTTGCAATACAATGAACAATAAAGAATGAATGATCTGTATAAAAACAATATTATTGTCATTATTTATAAATAGTTAGATATAGATAATCGATAATGGAATGTACTCATTCGTATTGCGTATTTAAAATCAATTTTCTCGAAGAATCGAATAAAAAATTTTTTTCTTATTTTTTCATATGAAATATTTTATTATATTTTATTTTATCTTTATGATTCTTTATTTTAATATAAATTTAAAATATATTCTATTATGTTAAAATTTTCGAAATTATAAAAATAAAAAAATTTTTGAAATTCCGTAACATTCAATGTACTATTTTTGTTTCCATAAATCACCTCTGAATCGTCAGTATTATTCAATAACAGTTTGAGATCACCGTATATCGTTGACTTAATGGCATTCGCGCAAGTGTAAACTCACACGAGTGAGCAAAGTTAAGACGGATATGTATACATACATGCATATAAACGACGACAATACATACATAGTAGGCGTATAGAGGAAGGCGCGTGCGTGTAGGCCTCGTTGGTAATTGTGGTTAATTTAACGACAGTCAAAGCAACGACTGCCTGTCCTTACTGGTCAGTTCACGCGACCAAGTCCCACTCGACTGATCGACCAATGTGCAATACTTTCGTGGCTATCGAAACACGACCGTTATTTGCTATCGATATTCGGTTCTTAAACTCTTGTTCCGATTTGTTTAGAATTGTTAAACCAGTTGCTAATTCTGTTTATTTCATCGAATTTGTGAAATCATACAAACTTTATCGGTAATTTTATTATAGACAACAAGTCGATTTAACGCCAGCTATTGGCAAGAAACAATCTCGATCGAGTTTCGTTTTGTGTGCAGTTTCCTTTCGTAAATTTCACTATCGTGCAGTGTGCTATATATATATATATATATATATATATATATGTATATATACCGTTGTGTCCTAATCGCTCTATGGTAGAAAAAAAAACAGTCGACATTAGTTGGATAGAAGCAGCGTCGGGTGTTCAAAGCACGTGTTTATTATTTTTTCGCAGGATATCCGGTAAACTTTTATATTTCTTGAACAGAGAGAAAGTACTTATATTTAATCATATAACATTGTATTGCATACGATACATTATATATAATCGAACATATAACAAACTCCCTTAAATTATTTCAATGTTAGATCGCGTTCACTGTGAATACACATAGCAAGCGTATGTTCAGTAATCAAAACAAAGCTGTTTTATGCGTTAAGTGAGATTGACTATTTCATGTGTTCAATTGGTCATCAAGATATATTATTGTGACTGTGTGAAGCTTGACGAGAATTGTCGAATGATGTTTCGTTGTTAGAGACGCGTGACATTTACGAGGATTCCGCTTTTTCTAATAATATACCGCACACAGTGAATGGATCGAGAGTGAAAATTAATCTTATTCGCACGAGTGTAAGTTCGCGACCACGACTTATTGTGACTTTTTGTAGTTTCGTTTCGAAGCATGCTACCTTTTCGAAAGGAATATTATTGGCCGTTCAGTCTCGTTCTGGAATGAAACGGTAAACAACGTGTGGTAGGAATAGAGTTTTTGAGACACAGCTGTTGCTGAACTTTCCTCATCCGTTGCATAAAAGTCCACTGAGTCATCGAAAGATATGTTTATATTTCGAACGAACAGTATCGTATTACCGGTCGCGAAACTACTATTGCGATAAAATCAAACGTGGCAGTGTTAAAAACTTCCCAGTTATTGGTTAAGAGTAGAAACGATTAATTGGAGGAGAATCAATATTGAATACAGGTTGTTTCCGAGAAAATTTTTTGGAATAATTGTCCAATGGAACAAGTAATTAGATGATTGAATTAATCACATATATTATAAATATTAATGATTCATAATAATTACTTTCCAGTTTGGCAAGTTTTAAGTTGCGTATTGATTTTTTATTCACGATAGAATTTCTCTTAAAAACTATAAACAATATCAATCTTTATTGTATTTATACAATGTATTTGTATATATTTTGTTGCTGTTTGTAAACAAGAAAATAATTATTTCTCTTTTCACTTTCTCAATATAGAATTTCGGAATCATGAACAATATGGTACGGCCATAAATTCAATCCGGACATAACCTACATAATATTTCTTGCATCGTTTTATCACTATCGTCGGAAGAAAAATCGTCGATTTCTCAAGTTCATGTATACTTTCTCGTTAGAAACAGGACTTTAAACGAGTTTAGGATGACCTAGATCAATAGATGAACATAAGTCTATAGGACCGAGGATTCGAGTCGATTCGAAACGTGGAACGAAACCGTATAGTCGCAAGTACTTACATCTCAATTTAAGGGCAATTGTGCTAACAGTCCGACGCTCTCAATCAATTGTGGGCGTTCGCTTCGTTAACGAACGAACGAACGAACAAACTCACGGCCAAACTCTGTATTTTATTCTGTGTATCTTCTCCATTGTCAGACGTACGACTTCCTTTTCCGGTCTTGGTTTTACGATCGTATTATTAGAATTGCACCGCTTAATCGTTATTTCTTATGTGCTAATGATAAATATGCCATCTCGTAAAAAGTCGATTAATCAATATCTCGAGATATTAATTGTTTATTGCGTCATGTATCAATGATTATGTGATGATAATTAAGATAAGAAATGAAATTTTTATAAATTTCATAAGATGATGCCTTTTTGTAAAAATTTATTTATTTAAACAGAAAATACTGTTCATATTGAATTATTAAATCGATTAGAGGAGATAAAAAAATTATCTTTATTTATTTATTAATTATTTATTTATTATTTATTTATTAATTAATTGCATTTTATTTAATTGCATCAATCTATTTCTACTTGCAATTGTACTTTTATTTATTTTCCATTGCTCTAAATTTTATGCTTATTTGATTATTATTTATTGCTCACTTCAAATAATTCAATTAAACAATTATGTTGACAAAATTACATGGATTGAATGATCGTGTATACTCGTCAAATTTATTCAATGCTGACGTGTACACAGTGATTGTAGAAACTAGACCGGATTATGACTGTTTCCTAAAGGAAGATGGTAAAAATTGATAGAACTATTTTATGCTTGAACTGAATTCACTCGTATATCTAATCGAATTTTTTTTTTAAACGCATCAGTGCATCCGCACTTTCTTTTTCCTCTCTTAAATTGTAATCGCATAGATTGACGCATGTGTCAAGAAGGAAAATGTTTGAAATTCGAACTTTGAATAGAATTTATTTTCTTATTGTATCTATTTAAAGAATGATAACATCATTTTATTATCATAAAGCATACATTCTGGAGAATGCGCATTTTAAGGAACGGAAAACAAATTAGTATGTATTTATATATTTATTTGTGCAATTAATTTAAAAATATATAAAATTGTTTAAACGAATTACGATACTACATTTATTTTGTTTAAAGTTTTTTTTTTAAATTCTATAAAATATAAAATATTCAAGCATACTAGAAAATTATGAAAATTTTATCAAATCGTAATTTCTTTTTTTTTTTGTTTATTTTCATTTATTTGCAAATATAGGAGAAAAAAAAATTACAATTCATTTAAATATACTTTCATGCTATGTTTAAATTTTAATAATAAAAACGTAAAATGTTTATAGAGTCCAATTTGTTATATAAAAAAAAATTTATTTAATTTTTTTAATTCAAGTTGTCTTTATTAGCAAGTTATATAATATTATTGGCCTGATAACACGTTTTCGTTCATAGTTTATTTTCTTTCCAAGCAGTTCATTTGCAGTATTATTGCTTTATCAATAACTGACCAGCACTATGTTAACAAATGTAACACATATTACACATATAGGAGAAGTAGGAATAATATAATTTAATGAAAGATTATTTGAATTTAAAGAATAATCTCAAGTGTTACAAATAATCATTATTTATTAATATATCAAATTTGTAAAACTCATTAATATTTAAAAAATGATAATATATTTTGTATTCTTACGTGTAATAATTCTTAAATTTTATAAAATATCTCGTCAAAAAAAAAATATATATTAAAAAATATAAAAAAAAATGGAAAATTTTTAGGTTAGGGCAGTACAAAATTTATTTTCTTTAAAAACAAAAAAATATATCTATTCTACCGATTTTCTTGAATAAATTTGACATGACACAAATATACATATACAAATATCTAAATAATATTTTTATCTTATTTTGATTATTTCTGGCGTGTTTGAAATTAAACATGTTAAAAAACATTCCCTATATATTATAATAATAACTATCTTATAACAATTCATTTCGACACTGTCATCTTACAAACGACCTATTAAGGTCATCTCTTAGCGGCAATTTTAAAAATAATCCTTTGCGTGGCCATCACGCTATGAGAACGTTGTTGTTGATCGTGTTCTTTGAGAACTTTCACGCACAACGTGTAACCGTTATCTGTTGTAACCTATCAGGGCCCGATAATTGCAAAGCTTGCATAAAACTTGCAACACCGGCAACTTATCGTTTACCAGAGCGATAGAGTAAGAGAGATATAGATTCATGGTTGCATTCTATTAACGGAATCCTTTCTGAGGTTATAACGGGAGTATAGAGGAGCTAGAATTTTTATGCCACTGCGCTTTCAATTTTCTCGCACATGATGCGAAATAGACCTTTGTACGCTTTGCTGATCTTAAAACAATACATCGAAATGTTAATACATATTTAGTTAGGAAAATGTATTCGTTTCCCTTTGATATCATTCACGAGAATACAATAGCAAAAAGTATATTGGATATTTTAGTATATTTGAGGTATATATTGTGTAAGTTATACATATTGTGTAGGAAAAAGTGAAAGACAGTGCAGAATCTCAGAAATATTTAATCTTATAAATAAAATATTATATTATGAAATTATAAACAAAATTTGCTGATAATCAATATAAATATATATATATATATATATATATATATTTTCTTAATTAATTATGATTATGATAAAATGTGTTTTCTTTATATTTTGAAAAATTTTAACTAAAAACTTGATTGTTTTAAATAATCGTTTAAAATAACGCGATTATAACAATAAAAAATATTATCATAAAAATATTTTATATAAAAAAATAAATAAAAGTAGTTGTATAGAAGTAATATATATTATATATATATATATAAGTGAAAATATTTTTTTAAAATATTGAAAATGGTTAGATTGAAGATTTTTATGATCTAGTTATCTTGTACGGATATAATATTATAATTTTTAATATCAAAAAATTTATATTACTTTTAATTTAATTAATATATAATATAATTCCACTTTAAAATGAAAATTATATTTAAAGATTACAATTAAACGATGGTTAAAAATATCTATTGCTAAAAATAAGAGATTTCTATATTTTCTATTTAAATATCCAATAACAAATTCGTGTTTTTATCCCTATTTATATAAACTGGGTCATATAAGATATAGCGGTGATAATTCTGAAAATATGAATGATGTGATATTATCTAATATTAGAAAATACGAACTATATATTTCAATATTTTGAATATATATATATTTATATAAAACTATGTTTCACTTTTTTGCATATTGAAAATGCTTGCCTCATAAATAATAAAGAATAGAAACTATGCATAAAATCATATTATGTATATCTATATGAATTATTTCATGAAATAATTGATATAAATTATCGTAATTTATATTATATTAATATTACAATATTAATTCATAATTCTTTGTTGTGATATATGAAAATTTATATGAAAATTTTATTATCTATATTTAATAATATGATTATTTAGTGAATTATTAATTTGTATTAACTTCTGTTTCTTAATATGTACAATTGATCCATTTGAATTATTAAATAATTTAAAATACATATTAATTAATAATATATTGATTGAAGAACTCTATAATTCTTTTTTGAAAAATCATATTTTTTGAAAAAATACAAAAATTGTTTTGGAAAGAAATATTAAAAGAAATGTTTTCATAAAATTGCAAAGTAGTGCAGATAAAAATTGTACAAATAGAGAATAAATAAAAGAATATATATTGAAAACATTTTAAGTATTAATTGATATATTACAGTTAAAATATTTCTTATACAGAGGATATGTAAAAAAAATATAAAATATTTTTTTACAAGTATACTATGATATAAAAATAAAGTTTCATTTAAAAACAATTATAATTACACTATAATTATATATATGATATATTTAAATATAACATTTATAGAAACGTTTTATTTTTCACAATTCTTTTATTTTTTTAATCAATCTTTATAATTATTTATAATAATAATGATTATTTAATTCATTATAATTACAATCATTCTGAGTAGATTTAACTATATATAATTATCATCTTTTCTATCAAAAATATCGAATATATTTGTATTCTTTGATTCATTTCTATACGTTTATTCCCACAAAGCAATGTTTTCGTTAGATATTTTATCATTCTATTACGTAACGTTATTACATTTTCCAATAATCCGTTCATGACACGCATTTATCTTATATCATCGTCACGAGATGGCGCTCGATTTTTTGCCAATCCATCGTTGCAATGAATAGCTCAATATCACGATTAGATTCTCTACTATACATACATATAGTCTCTCTCGTGCTTTCTTTGCCTGTACTATCCACTCTATCATCCCTAATGTCATTCAGAATGCATAGTATATAGTTATCGACTAATATCAATGAAATCTAGATGCAAGTTCGCCATTCGAAGCCAAGGAATGTCAAAGATCCCAGCGAGCGGTTCATATGCGAGCAGCGTGTTTCAAGAATTACCAAGAGTTGTAATCGAATTATGGTAGCTCATTGATTGCAGTTATTCAATAATAATTTGAGAAAAAAATACGTGTGTATTCGTGATTTGATAAAAATACGAATTTATTTCACGCGCGCGCACGTGTGTATATAATATAAACACAAGAAAACGAAAAAAAGGACGCGATAAAAACGGACAAAAGGAATAGTGATTTGTGAACACGAGGAATAATCGACGGTGGACCAGAGAGAGTGGTGGACAGTTGGAACGGGGAAAAATGTTCAAGCTAGCTGGACGACAGGAATGGGAGGCTTTGACGAAAGGTAAATGGCGTTGCCGTTTACAAAACGTTTTTAAACAATTATTCTATACGTGTACCCCTACCCTTTTATATATGAGACAGGTTTATAACTATTGAAAAGATGTTTAAAGGTTAAAAACATACGTGTAAGATTCGTTTTATAAGAGAATAAAATCTTGCATGAATATTGCCTCCTCATGTGAGAATTTGTAACAGATCCTGGCATGATATATGATATTCGTGAATAAAGTTACGTTTAGTTAATGTTTTTAAAATGTTTTTAATTTAATGTTTTTGATCAGTTTTTTAAAGATCTTTAATCTGAGTTGTTATGATTTATTTTTTGTTTTTGAATAAAATCTGAATAATTTCGAACAATCAGTTGATTTTTGAACAGTACCATGTTCGGCTTGTTTTAACACAAGTAATCTCTTTTGTACAGTTGCACTACAATTTTTCGATACGCTCTGTGAAAATTCGAAATAACAGGCGGCATAGAGAAAGTTTGTAAATTTAACGTTCTCATTTATGCTACAATAAATATTTTTTTCACGAATACACTTACAGTCTTTTATAAGTTATGTTCCTGTAACTTAAATCGATACTTGTTGTTTTTAATTAATTATCATTTAATTTTTGAACTGAATTAAAAATAATATGAAATTTAATTTATATTTTTATTCAATGTTGATTATTTTTCTTATATATTGTTTTAAATTTTCAATTTATTTGATTATACTAATAAATTTCATTCAAATTTAATCTATAGTCGATAGATATCTATTATATATCTAGTCAATACATTTATAATCAATATATTTGTTGATAAATTAATCTATTGATTAATATTATAGATAATAATTCAAAATGAAAACAATGATATCATAAAAATATCTATTTTTATAGATAATAGTAAAAGATATTAAGTTATGAAGATTCCATGTTCTATAAAATCTTTGTCTATAAAATAATTATAATTTATTTTTTATTTAAAACTTATCATAAATACTTTTATGATTAATTAAAAAAATATACAATTTATAAACGAACTATATTATTATCAATAAAATATTAATTAAAATAATTCAACATTATAATAATTATTATTCTGTTTTTAATAGAATGTATATATATACAAGATATAACTGCATTTAATTTATTTAAAATTTATATATTTTATATTCGTAACTATTATTTTTTAATAATTACTTTAAAAGTCAACTTCTTTTTATTTTCTAATATTTTTTTATCATTGCGTTTATGAAAGAAAATATATATACAGTATACTAGATAAAAATGGGAAGTGATCATAACGTCGCATGGGTCATGGGTGACCTACAATACGATAAATCTTATTTCACATGTGCATCGCACATGTTAATTATACGTCAGAAGCACGACAAAGTGCTTCATTCCACGATTGCTGCTAGATTGAATCAAGTTTATTTTGTATTTGTAAATATGAATCGATTTCAATTTTCATTTTACAGATATTATTGACTTATTTGCAAAAAATTCGACCTAAACGATTTAATTTGAAATTTCAAATTTATGCAAGTTTTGAAAAATGTTACAATTGTTTGGAATAAAATAAATTTAATAAAAGAGTAAAATATTTTTATTTGCAAGAATAATTTCATTTGTAAAAATAATTTCAATTTATTAAAAAAAAAAGAAAAACATGGAAAATAGTATAAAAATATATAGAAAATATATCTAGTATAAAAATACGCAGCGTGAAAATAAAGTTATCAAAGTGATTCCATTGAAATCACACAATAAGCGTTACAGTCACTTGTTATACAATTCTATCGATATTACTTCTCTTGTCAATTCATATGAGCTTTCAAGCAGTCATATAATGGATCCTGTTACGTCCTTCGAACGATTGTCAATTTCATCCGTGTATTTCTACCAATAACAAGTTTTTAAAGGAACAATATGGAAAAAATATATATTTTTAAATATAATTAATATTTTATATTCATTTTATACAAATTTTAAACAATTTAAAAAAATAAATATGTATATTTTTTGATTTTTAAAGTCTATGAAAAAAATATCTTGAATACGAATATTCTATCTATTCCTTTTATATATATCTCACAATTAACTATTTCATGCGATAATGAAATATTTTAATGTGTGTTTTCATTATATCATGAAATATGAGAAATTTAACATGAGAAAAATTTTGTTTAACTTAACATTTAACTTCTACATTTTTTTCTAAACATAGTATAGTAATTTTTTAAATTCGTATCTTTTTTTTTAACTCATATAAATCAATATAACCTCTTCATTCATACAACTCTACTTATTTAAAAGATATTATAAATACAGGATATTACACGATATAATTTTCATCAAAAACATTAATAAATTAATTTTATATCTGTTATGATGATTTATTCCATTCTCTGTACTTTTAAAACGATAAAAATATCATACTATGTACATGAAAAAAATTAAAAGTTTCTATGATCATGAATGCAGGACGCAGCTCGTTAGAACGCGCCCTCTACAGATTATAATTATTATTAAACTCGATTATGTAACATATGTCGATAATCATATAGAACATAGAAAGTTCAAACAACTATTATTAAAATAGAAATAATTTGAAATAAAGATGTCAATATTTCGACAATGCGTTAAAAAAAATCATTGACATTTTCTGAAAGGAAATTGCCAAATGTATATTATTATTATTATTTTATAATAATCTTTTGGTTATTTATCCTTCAAAATTTCTGATCAATTAGTACTACAGAATGATTTGAAGATATAATTCATTTTTTATTCTCTAGAAACATTTCTTTCATAGAAATGAAGAATATTTTTCTATAAATTCTATTTTTATTCTTCTAATTTTAATATATTTGATCAATTTCATCAGATTTCTTATTAATTTTTAGTCTCATTCATCTTTATCTTATTTCTTCCAAATTGTCATATAATATATCTATGAAACAAGGATCATTCTGTTTTTCTTACCATAATGGATTTTTAATAATATAAAATATTATAGTTAAAAATAAATTTTGTTTGCCAACTAGAATTATAAAAATCTTGTATCAGATAGGTACGAAAAGAAAGAACAGATTAAAAGATCTTTTTAATAAATCTATATAATCTCATTTTCTAAAACATTTTCTAAACATTCTCTTTTTGACATTTCTTCAAATAAAATTCAGATATAGAAAATTCTTGGAATATATATTGCTCTTATTCAATATTATATATACATTCTTATCTCTCGTCTAGTGATGTCATCAACCTATAACTATGCAGATCTCTTTGTTCTGAAGATTTGGTGTCGTTTTTCAGTTGCGCGTATAACCTAATTTCACTTGCCAGTATATGGTCAAATATTCTTAAATGCTTAAGATGATTATAGAGAATTTTATTTTATGAATATAAAATATATTTCATTTTAATCTTATCTTTCTCAGGATTTTCTCTCTTTTCGTTAATCTCTAATTACTCATCTAATTTAATTATAAATTATCATTAACGAATTAATATATTATCATTCAATTTATCCAAATGACCAATACAATAATCAAAAATCTATCATAATCGAGATGGAAAAAAATCAATTCTTTAATTGAATATTAATTAAATTTTATCGTTACTTTTGAACCACCCGATATACAACAAAGTGCGTTTATTTACGTTCTTAGGGGCGTAGGTCGTCGATTCATGCCATTCCTACCCTTATGGTGGAGGGGTCGAAAGTCTCGTGGCCACTTGGGGAATGAATCACACCAGAGAAAAATCGATACGTCCCACGTTTTTGTATGGAGTGAAAAAAAAAAATTATTAAGCAACTTTTGTATGGGAAGACTTAAAGATCAACAAGAAAACAGTTTCTTTCCTTTTTCTCTCCCTCTTTTTATATTACTTTCTTGGAACCAGAGTCGGCACCATATGTGATGATTGCACATAGTAGCTTCCCCTGTTTTAATGAGACGCTACTATCGGGTTTCGTACAACTTCCTAAAAGCATTCAACAGTTTCAGGAATTATATTTTTTGTCCCCCAATATGTATCTTCTCAGAAAAATTGTATAAATTAAAAGTTAGAAGAACATTTTTCTTTCTAAAATTTGTTTCACAAAATTTTGAGATATTTTTTATATCTTATTTAATTCAAATTAAAAAATAAAATGAAGATATTATGTGTATAATCTTTTGATATTTAATTTCTGATATTTTATAATACAATTTTTATTTTATATTTTAAATTTTTTGAAAAAGTTTGAAAAATATAAATTTATAAGTGTAATTTATTTTATTTTATATTATATAATATAGATTACAGTTTTTTTTTGTTTTTCTTTTAAAAATGTACATAATATTTATCCTTGGTATTTAATTGCAATTATTAAAGTAGTTTAAATATCAGTATAACATAACAATTGTAAATTCAATTCGAGGTGATCTCTAAGAAATTAAAATAGAAAAATATGAAATGCATTTATTTTCAATTCTTTAATATTTTTCTATTTTTATTTTTTAAAAATATTTTTGTATTAAATTTATAATTTTATTGTAACAACAATAAAATTTCAATAGGATTAAAAATCAATATTCATATAATAAATATTTTCTATTTATAATAATATTTTTGGAAAATTTGAGAATTACCGATTTAAATATGTAATATATATATAAAAGATATATATAAAATATAGTGAAATATCAGTCTATTAAACTCTTAAAAATTGTATATTATAAATATTTGAATCATATTATAAACATTTGACTTAATAATCAACATGTTGAGTCAATATGTTGAGTCATATGGTAAAAAAGTTAAGAATCTTTTGAATGAGCAAATACTTTTTTGAATCTGTATGTAGAATTTAATCCAACTTATAAATTGGAAAAATATTGATAAATTAATGTTGTTAAATTAATATTGTTATTTTTACATTTATTATTTCTAAAAAAAAAATGTAGGATAAAATATGTAAAAAAGCAGAGCACGATCGAATTGAGACTGGTTCCTCGATAATAAATGCGTTCGTAACATGAAACGGATTTGCGGTGAATCGAACGGTTGGTCGATCGATCGATCGATCGATTAACGAAAAAAGAACCTAACCTAATGAGTCAATAGAAAGTCTTTATCTGGCATCTTTATCCTGTTTTCAGACATACGATTGCAGCTGAACGAACAGCTGAGATGTCTCGACATCCGGATGGAGGCCCAAGTCGCCATCGTGGCGGAGCTTCAGGATTTTTTTCGAAAGAGAGCCGAGCTCGAGCTCGATTACAGCAAGTCTCTCGACAAGTTGGCCAGAAGCATACAGCTCAGACACAAGGAGCAAAAGCAAAAGTACGTATTTATTCTGTATCTTTATTCTGTATTTTATTCTTTACTTTTTTCTTTCTTTTTTTTTTAAATTCGTATAATCGATAATCATGATCATCTTTTTTCAAAATTTTAAATTCCATCTGATCTTCAATTTATGAAGTTATTTTTGTTACTTATTTATTAATTTTAAAAATAAATTCTTAAACTTAAGAAAATTTATAAACAGAGAAAAACAATTAATATAATTAATATATACAATTAATGCTTTGAAGTAAATCACTTTAGCTAACAGTAAGCAATTCCTAGGCGAGAACAGTGGCCCCTATTCTCGAGCTATGCTTGCTGGCAGCAACTCATCAACGAGACTAAATCCTTAAGCAGAGATCATGCAGCTTTGTCAGAAGTATATAGCACACACCTTGTTGGTCGTCTTAATCAAGTGATGGAAGATGTTCAACGGATATACAAACGTGTGAGTATATGTCAATATATATTATTGGAAATATTGAAAATATACTTACAATATATTATTTATATTATTTATATATATTACAATATATTACAATATATTTTATAATTAAAAAATATATATAAGAGAATGTTCAAAAATAAATGAATATTCGAGAAATTGAAATTATTAAAGACTGATTTTATCATTTTTTGATTAATTCACTTTTAATTACATTGATACATAATTTATTGTTTTAAAAAAAAAAACAGTTCTGGATTTAATTTAATGCTTTTTATTACTTTTTATAAGTTTTCTAAGTTACTGCTGAATCCAATCCAAAATCAAAATATAAGATGTGCGTAATCAGAATCATTAAAAATAATAGTCGAATTGATTTCAGTGCCGTGAAATAGGTTATGAGACGCACGAGGAAATTCTTCGAGTATTGGATGAGCTGCATACCACGATGAAAACGTATCAGACATACCAGACCGGGTCACGGCAAGCGGAAACGAAGCTTCGCGTCGCGGAACAGCAGCGTAGCAAGCTCGAGGTAGCAAATGCTCCTCCAGAGAAACTCGCGCGCAGCAAGAAATATAAACTCATGGAAAAGGAAGTGAACAAGGTGGGTTAAAATAAAGGCCGGATATCCGAGAGTATACTCGCCCATTTTTCGATTTTATTTTCTGTTAAGCTTTTTTTCTCTTTTTTTCCTTTATCCCTCTTTCTTTCTCTTTTTCTCTTTTTCTTTTCCTCTGTTTCTATGACCCTGACGAGGTCGAGTATACTTCAAGACAGGCTAGTATCGATTTCCATCATACTTTTTATGTTCTTTTTATGTGGAGAATACGTGAACTAAGATCTCTCAGTATGCATTCCCTAGGTGAATAAAACACGACTTCATTCATCTCTCTGTCAAATTTCTCATCTTATCATTGATTTTAGAGAATACGTTTTATCATGTAGTTTATATGCTTGTCTAGATGTCGGTTTTTAGAATTTTTATTCAATGTTTTGATAAATGTTTTCAGATAATTTTTAAAGAATTACAAATAGAATAATTATAATATATAATGTAATAATTGAAATTTTTGCAATATTGATTAAACTTATGTATACTTTTTATTTTGTTTAGAGGAAAGTTAAATATCAAGAGGCGAAGCTGAAAGCGTTGAAAGCAAGAAACGAGTACATTTTATGTCTTGAAGCATCCAATACGACAATACATAAGTATTTCGTGGATGATCTTTCGGATCTTATCGATGTAAGTTATAAAAGAATAATTTCTCTATATTATATAAAATATTCTTTATAATAAAAATATTTAATCAAAATTCAATTTCAAAATATCAAAGTTTAAAATATTTAATTATAAAAAAATACTTTACTATATTTACTTCATTTTGAAAGAATATCAAGAAATAAAAAGTTGAAAAAAAATATATATATAATTAATTCAAAAAGAAATTGAAGAAAGAAACATAATTTTAAATTTTTAATTTTATCTTAATATTATACCAAATATCGTAATGACAGAAAAATAATAATTCTGAATTTCTACTTTGCTTGAATAAATAAATTAAATAATATTTTTATAATATTTTATTTTAAAAAAATATCACAACGATTCATTATTAATACGTATTTTACATATATACTCGTAACAATCTATTCAATGATAGAAACTAATAAGAAAATTAGTATTATATCAAATATTGGTACAATCAGATTACCGATATAAATTTTTGCCAACAATATAAATTTTTGTAACAACTATTACAGAATATATTTACCAAACAAAAAAGAATTTTCGTTACTCTCACGCTATTATATATTTATTGTTATATATTTATTATTCTGCACTGTTTATTACAACAATGAAAAGCTTTTTAACATGAAAAATGATCGAATGTATATTTGGCACGCGATTTGTGAACTAATTGCAACAAGTCGATTTAAGAGAGCACAATATAGGCTTCTTGATACCATATACGTTACTCGATAATAGGTTACTGAATCGGTTAACTCTAAAAATATTCTGAAAATTCTCTATTAAAAATTAATTATTTATAATCTCGGCTTTCTTAATTGTTATTTTCAAAAATTTGTTCAATAAGTGTTAGTTTTTATTAAAAATATATATCTTTATAATAATTATAAATAAATAAGAAATTAATCAGAATTTATTATTATGTATTTCAAAAAGAAATGATTAATTTTTGTATACTATTTTATTTAAAAAATCAATATTTTCACATTTTCTCTTGTGTGAAGATAATTGTATGATTTGACTTTTTCAGTGTATGGATTTCGGTTTTCACAATTGTATCGCCAGAGCTTTGCTGATGCATTGTAGCGCAGAGGAAGGTAGACAACGTTCACTACAATCTGGTGCCGAACAATTAGCTGCTTGTGTTGGTGCTCTAGACTCGAGGGCGGATAAACAAAGATTTCTGGAATCTCATCATGCTGCTTTCATGATTCCTAAGAAGTTCGAATTCCAAGGACAACGAGGGGATGAGGTACTCGAAGTATGTTATATAAATTGTTATATAAATTATTCCAATTTTTAATTATCATTGAGTTATAAACAATTTGAATCATAATAATAAAAATGTATATCATAAATAATATATTATTAAAAGTATTAAATATCTAATATATCTATAATCACAAAAGATATTATTTAGCATAAATATAAATATAAAATGTATGAAGTAAATATTTAATAAATAAAGGAACTTAAAAATCATTGTAATCATTTATATTAAATTTATATGTTATATAGATATAAATTCTAAATAAAAATTTAACACAAACTACAAAAAAGTAACAATTTCTTATATTTTAGTATTTTATATTTTGTTATATTTCATATAACAAAAAATGGAAAAAAAAAAAGAAAATGATATACAGTTTCTTCCATCATATTTTTCTTTCATATTCAAGACTTTAATATTAATAAATATTATTAATAATATTATATTAATAATATTATTAAATATATATATATTTATATAATATATATATTTCTTTTATAGACTCCCGAACCGGAACTTCAAAAATTGTTGCATGCTGAGATGGAACAACGATTGGCTCAATTACAACAAAGATTAACTTCCTTGAGAACAGAATCTGAAGAAGTTTGGAAAACTTTGGAAACAGCAGAAGCTAGTTTATTGGAAATGTTAACTGCAAAAGACTACGATTGTTCAAGATATTTTGGAGAAAACGCTGTTCCCACTTCCAGACCACCGGAAACCGTGCAAATCAAACTTAGAGCCGACAGACAGGAAACTGAAGAATTCTACCTCACGGTAATTTTAATTCAATTAATAAATATATATAATTATTAAATTTAAGCAGTTAAAATATGAAAATAATTTTATATATTAAATGTTATATTTACTGAAAATTACTATGTAATTATCCGCGAATATATAATTTAATTAATTAATATTAATTTTATTAAAGTTAATAAGATATTTTAGAATAATATATTAATATAGAATAAAATATTATTTCAACTTAATATATTTATTATAATTTAACTTATAATATTACAACTTAATATTATATAATATATTACTTTACTTTCTTTTTTACTTCATATTAATAACATCATCATTTGAGATTAGATAAAAATTTAAAAAATTTAATATTAGATAAACTTTTTGAGATAAATAAATAAATACATATATAAATTTAATTAAGATAATTTTTATCTTATTATCTTGTTATCAATGTATTAAAAAACATTGTATTTAAATATAATACTTAAATATTTATTTCAAAGAAGTATCAATTATAACATCAATTTTTATTGATATTTTACAGAAATTCAGGGAATATCTTCTTGGAACGTCAAGAATAGCTAGGTTAGATGCAAAGCAAGAATACATTCGGCAGAGCCTATTGGATGGTTCTACTGCTAGCCCAAATCCATCAATATCAACAACGAAACAAAAACAAGCTCGAAGAAAACGAATTGGTAGATTGCAAATGAATGGTCAACCAAAATTATTTGGTGGCTCATTAGAAGAATATTTAGAAAGCACGAATCAAGAAATACCTTTAATCATGAAAAGCTGTATCAGAGTGATTAATCTGTATGGTCTTCATCATCAAGGTATTTTCCGAGTCTCTGGCTCCCAGGTGGAAATTAATAATTTCCGAGAATGGTTTGAGAGAGGAGAAGATCCATTGGCTGATGTCACAGATGCATCAGATATAAACAGTGTTGCTGGTGTATTGAAGCTCTATTTGAGAGAATTGAGAGAACCACTGTTTCCTATTATTTATTTTGAACATTTAATGGAACTAGCGCAATTAGAATCAAAGCAAGAATTCGTTAACAAAATGAAAGAATTGATTTCCAGTCTTCCAAGACCAGTTGTCATAGTAATGCGATACCTATTTGCTTTTCTCAATCAGTAAGTTATTAATTTTTAGTTAAAATTTATAATAAAAATATAATATAAAATATAAAATAAAGATTAAAATAAAAATTAAGATTTTAAAGAGCATTATTTGGTTTATATCTAGTTTGTTTTTGAATCCAGTTTATAAATTCATTTGTTATAATTATTTTTATATTTCTTTATATAGCATTTTACATTACTCCAAAATAAATTAATTTTTTTTTTTTAATTCTGTTAATAGTCTTTCAGAATTTTCGGATGAAAATATGATGGATCCATATAATTTGGCAATTTGTTTTGGTCCCACATTAGTACCTGTTCCAGAAGATAAGGATCAAGTACAATATCAAAATCAAGTAAATGAACTCATCAAGAATATTATCACATTCTGCGAAGAAATATTTCCAGAAGACATTGGAGGTACTCAATATGAAAAATACATCAGTAGAGAACCTGATGACGTGTAAGTATGATGCATATCATATTAAAATTAAAATTCTGTTTATTTTATGTACTCAATTTATAATTTTTTATCAAAATAAATTTTTAATGCAGAGATGTAGGAGACTCGCCGACAGATCAAGCCCAGGAAGATATGGATTCTGAAGTGTATCCATCCGAGGATGGTGAGTAAAGTCAGATATAGTTGATTAGTTGTCCGGAATCCAACAAAGCGCGATCTACGTTCGTTTTGTATATTCCCAGAATCAGAAAACCTTGAAGCCACAGCGCAATTCGATTTCAATGCAAGATCCGAAAGAGAGTTAAGCTTCAAAAAGGGAGATACCTTGACTCTATACACACAAGTCAGTAATGACTGGTGGCGAGGTGCCTTGGCCGGTAGAGAGGGGCTTATTCCCGATAAATATATAATGATCAAAATAAAGTAAGTGAGACTTAATCACGCAGTGGTGAATTATTTCCTTCGAGAATGCCTTCTATTGAATTTATTGGCTAAATTTATTAAATCCAGAGGGAACGAAATTCAATTGTGCTTGCTTTTTAAAAGAAAAAGCTTCTTTAGGTTACTCTGTTAGAAATGCTTGTTTATTTTAATTTTCGCGAATGAATCTTTTTTCCTTTTTAATCCTTTCCATGTTATTTAATTTTATCTTATATCTTGAATTTGTTATTATTGAATTGACGTTTATGAAAATATTCGGGATATAGATGATTTCTCTTCAAAATAGGATATTTCTTATGGAAAGAATTAAACATGGAGTAAGAAAGTATAGAATTATAATTAATTTTAATGCGTTAAGAAAATTTCTTTGCACTCATTCATTTCATTAATTTCAATTTCATCTTTACATGAAAATTTAATTTAAAAATTTAGAAAAAATATAATTTAAAAAATTTAATTGAATCATTTAATTTCAGAAAATTTTGAATAATTTAATTTACAAAGATGTATATTAGGCATAAATATAAATATAAATATTTACTATGTTCCTATACTTCAAATAAAATTTTATAGTATTATTACTATTCATTAGCATTTTTCTAAAAGAGAAAATAATAATAATGAAAAATATTCAATAAGTGTTCCTCTCATATGCTTACTAACATAATATTTCTAAATATTCACAAATATTATTAAGTAATATGTCATAAAGTAATAAAATAATATAATAATATATAATAATAATAATAATATAATAATATTCTATTCTATTCTACTTTAACAGGATTAATATTCAACATAATTTCTATAAATTTCACAACACAACACAATTTCTATAAACTAATGTTGAAATGATTTCATTTGTTTCATGCAATGTATATACGTATTTAATATTAACAGTATTTTTATTTAAATTATAATAATACCATTGACAAATAAAATATTCATTAATAATCTTCAAGATAATAATATGTTAAAAATTCAGAAAATTATGGTTATCAATGTTTTTTATATAAACTAATATTGCGGAAGAAGTTTTCTAATACTATTATTATAAAATTTAAATCAATATTTATTATATTACAATTTGTTGCTTAATTCTTGAAAACATAAAGCTAAAGCTTCTTCATAAATCTAGGACTGTTTATCATGCATTGCAAATAAATCTTCTTATTTTTTTTATATAATACCATTTTATAAAGGCCTCTATTCTTTGTTTAGGGACGAAGAACGTGAAAAAGAACTCCTGAAATCGTCCAGCGAAGAATCAATGCGAAGAAGGACTTCTAGCTCTGCCGACAGTGTTCTTTCAAGTAACAATTCACCACTGATGGGACCATCTGGAAATCCAAATACTTGGCCTCCTGGTACTACATCTGATATGCAATCTACCACGATTGCAACAGAAAATAGCAGTAACAGCGGTGTTATCCCAGCAGTCGTGACAAATGTCCCTTGCATCTCGTCAACACAACCAATCATCAGTCGAGAGGTACTGGAAACTACTGTTTAGTATAATTATTCGATTTTTTTCTTTTCATACATTCGTTTGCTTGTACATTTTCTATAATGCACTCGGAAGATTTTGAACTTTTATGCACAAGTGCATGGCTATTGTGCTATAATCTGTTTTCCTTAATGCAGTAGCAGCGAAGGAATGCACATTGCCGTTTTAAAAATGCAGATTTATTGCCTGTACATCACATACATCTAGAAAGCAGCATTGCTTTTCGTAAAACCACAATCTGTTATAAAATTTCTTATTTATTTAAATAGAAATACATGAAAATAATAATCATATGTTAATTCAAAGAATGAAAATTTTATACATAAAAATTAGAATCGTTATAATTTCTTCTTTATTTAACAAGTATTTTTTGATTTTTTTTTATTATTAATCTTGTTGGGTTCATTTGATTGTAAACTTAAAATAGAAAACGTGAACTTAAGATTATGTTAAGTTTAATTTACTTCGAAATCTCAATTAGTTGTAATTATTTGTACAATATATTTGTAAATAAAATAGAAATATATACATGTTTGTTGCTGCATGTGCCTTGGTCTCTTTGTCTTGTGTCGCCTATGTCCTTTTTTGTTGTCTTGTGTCATTTTTTTCTTTTTTGTAATGATTACGACTTTCAATGTTAATAGTTGGGATGGTTTTTCCAGATATACGTTTAGTCAGCCTTTAGTTGACAAGAAAAGTTTCACGTACATAGGTAGTGGGCGAAACGGACTAAAAACTGTTCGATAAAACTGCTGCCAAGTGTCGTGTGGTTCTGTCGTTTGTGTTTTTCGTTTCGTTGAAGGAGTGCCTCTGTTTAACAGTTCAGTTGGTTTGTGAATCCTAGCATTCTGTAAAACAATTTCAGTCTATAGATGAAACCAAAATGGAATGCTACTCGCAGAGTCTACTTATCCAGCGGATATTCTTTTGGCTTTAGGTGAGTAAACAAAGTGTCTCACCCTCAGATCAATTAATAATTAATTTTGTCGTTGACATCTGTAGACAGATAGGTATCAATACAAGGCTGTTGTCATGTTTACATGTTTGCCTGCTTGTATTCATCCTACTCATAGTCAGTTTTACGAGCAGTTTTTAATTCTATTTTGGTATGAATATTGATCTTATGCACTTCTTTTTATTCATTTCTTTATTTTCATATTAATGCATGCAGAAAGATTCACTTTAATCATATTATATCTTATAATATCTTATATATACAATATATATATAATATCTTGTATACATGTTTGAATGTTGCAAATTATTTTAAATAAATCTAAGAAGTATTCTAGATTAGAAGGTTTAATAATTAATTTTTTTTTGTGAAATATAAAAATAAAGAAGAAAAAAAAGAAAAAAATAATAAAATTGAATTTAAGATTTTTGAAAATTGAAATTTTATAAAATATTTTATATCTTTATCTTAATTATTTGAATAATTACATTTATATAAATTAAAAAATTATCTAATTTACATAATGAGAAAATTTGAGAAAATTAATCTGTGTCATTTACCAAAAATACCAAAAATTAATGAATTATTTTTATATATGATTGAAATTTGAAATTTTATTTAAATAATATTATTTAAATAATATTATTTAAATAATATTAGTAAAAATAAAAAAATATACATTAATAACTAAACAATTGTTAAATAATAATAATTAAATTCATTGTTATTTATTTAATAATCACTTTAAAAGTAAAAAATTCATTTGAAAATGATCATCTAGGCTAGAATACAATATTATTATTTATATTATAATTTTACTTTTTTTTAATGTACCAATTATTTTAATAAATAAAAAATTTTCTGTGTTAAATTAATAATTTGATTTAGCATTTAATCAATTACTATTTTATTATATTGATAAATACATTTTGTTATAAATATATTTTTATTATAGGTTCTTATAAATTATTAAATATAAATTATGTATTATAAAAAAAATAACAGTTTTTGACAAAATTCCAGGGCACTACATAGCAATAACAACACAGAAAATAATTTACATTTCATTGCAACAAACATGGTTGGTAATTTGGAAGATATTACTAGTTCTTTATTTACTGTAACAAGACATTTCATCATAAATGCTTTCTTAAAACGTCTATGTTACAATTTATAATTATTTCACATAATCAAACTACTTCCAGGAATGCGCATCTCGAATGGCAAAAGTATCAACACCTGAAAAAGAAAAACATATCTTCGTTACCGATCATCGTATAGATCCTATGTCAGTAATTATCACTAATAACACGGAGAATGAGAAGATATTAGAATTTAGTGAATCGTCACAACAACAACGTAACGAAGATAGCGAAGAAACAGAACGTATTTCTTTGATGAGCTTGGATAGTGGAACAAAGCGTGGAACAAGTAGGAAACAACATTGGAAATCTCAGAGTATGGGTGATACTGTACAACAAACAACGAATTCTGTTCAAACTAGCAACATTATCTCTCAAGAGGAGGAACCGCAGGAACAACCGACGTTTTCAGCAAATCGAGAACTTTGGCAGAGACGAGCAACATCGCAGACACAATTGAATCCACCTGCACCTCCAAATCATAAAATTTTTCGCACTTCTCAAGAATTCCGTGAAATGCGTCAAAAACATACACCAGATCTTGTGATGGATCTGCCGTTATCTGCACAAGATGCAAGCAAAAAATCAGCTTCATCAAGCAGTCTAAGCAGTTCTGATGAAGAAACTCCCACACAACCATCTCGTACCGAAGCAGCCACATCGCCAACAGGGGGACCCGAATCTCCTGATATGAGTACAGCCGCAGAAAGATTTGCCAAACAAAATCAATGCACTTTAAAAAAGAATACTAAGTCCAATCCAGATGCATCAAAATTGAAACGTATAGAAACCGAGCATGATCCCGAACAAGAATCTGAAGAAATCGTTAGGTCGACTAGTTCTAATCAGATTTCAGATTCGATGTCCTTAAGATCACCCCTTCCACCACGTTCAACACCTAAGATAGCGGCAAAATTTGCAGATATGCACTTAACAGGTGGTAGTCAGGTATCTTCGTTCAAGCCACAAATAAAAGTGAAGCCAACGATCCTTAGAAAACCAGTGTTACCGTTCCCACATCCTCATATGAGTCCCGAGCTCGCAAGGAAAATTGAAAAGCAAGCGCAAAGCACTGAACAAACCAATTAATTGCTATTCAGGGTATCATAAAGAACAAGAGAGTTTTTAGCAGCGAAGAAATATTTATTTTCTACGATCCATGCGTGTTTGAGTAAGATTTCCAGACGCATAGATTTGCCACTGACTTTCCATTGACCAGTTACTCCGCCCAAATCGTAAGGATACGAAGTGTGTTAGTTACTGTACCCAAAAATAAAGGAAAGCCGAACAGCATCACCCCTTAATATGAAACGAAACACACGAATTTAGTTGCATATGAAAGGTTTGATGCTATTCTCGGGCCGAGTTTATTTTTTCTACAACTATTTTCCATTTTCGCATAATTTTTTTACCAAATGACCCGCGAAACGATGTTTCTAGTCATCGAACGACGATTGAAAAACGATGCGAGAAATGTATGAGCGAGAAAATACATCGAAAAAACATTTAAAAAAAAAAAAAAATAATTTCGAGGTTAAGCAGTTTTTCGTCGAGAGAGAGAGAGAGAGAGAGAGAGAGAGAGAGAGAGCGAGAGCGAGAGCGAGAGAACGAGAGAGAATAAAAACAAAATGATTTTGTACGTTGGACGATTTGTAATTTAATTTTTAATTGCAAGGAATATTTCTTCTCAACATATTATCAGTCTAATGTTTGCAACAAACAAGTTTGATGTTCCTTTAAAAACGCACGCGAGTAAGTATGAGTTTAAAACAAAACAAAAAAAAAAGTCTTTCCCAGAAGTTCGTTTTTGAGAATGAGTGAGATGGTTTTGGGATTTAAATTCCGATTATTATTGCTATTATTATTTTTATCATTATTATTATTATTATTGCTATTTTTATTATTATTATTATTATTATTATTATTATTATTATTATTATAATTATTATTATTATTATTATTATTATTATAATTATTATAATTATTATTATTATTATTATTATTATTATCATCATTATTATTATCATTATTAAACGTTATTAACATGACACGAACGTCTTTAATAATAATAATATGACAATGATGTTCGATATATTCATGAATAATAAGTGTACAATAATACACGAGTATTTAATGGTTCGACGTCAGTTCTAGATATATACCAATAATTCTACTATGAAAAAAGAATTTAACGAAATCGGAAGAAAATGATATAACAAACATTTCAAGGTATTCATATTCTTCATTCCTATAATCATTAAAAAAAAAAACATTGTACTCGTTTATTAAATAATATGCATACAGTATACATGATACTATGTGCAAGTATTTTACAAATTATACTTTGAGTGGAAAAATCATTCGAAACATACTGTAAATCATCACAATCCGCTAAGTAACGAATGATGCGAATCAGTTAAGATTGACTATCTAATACTCTTTATAGTTACTGATTAAATATTAGTACGAAATATTATCACATTATACCCACCGCAATAAGAAAATACCAAAGCCAATGGATTATTGCCTTTTTTCCGACTGTACCATAATATTTGTTGAGTGAACATGACGCCAGATCTTCTGTTTTCTAACGATGCGTTCGTTTTTTTATATAATTCACGGTGAGAGTTGTGCTTTTACAATCGTTTTTTCTATAACTATTCTCAAGCTAAATTGTTAGTTTCATGAGAATGCAGTATAATTTAATGTATAATTTAATGTTGTTATATATTTATATCAATGTGACCCTTTGTCCTATACTAAAGCCTAATTTGATTATTTCGATTACGGTTACTGATATTAACTTCAATAAAAGAACTTACAGGCTGTATTGACCATTTGTGCAACAAACCTAATTATATTTCTAAGTTTAACTTATATAGATTTTATGGTAAGTAAATTTTTAATATTCTTTTTTATTTTGTTATTATTTATTTTGAAAATAATTCGATGAATTGATAAATTGAATTGAATTGTGATTATATTTTATAAACTTATGTATGTGTATATATATATTATTTCTTTTTTTTATCTGGGCATTCGAATTTTCGAAATATCGATTATAAATTTGAATTTGATTTCAAAATATTAAAACGGAGATATTTAGATATTTAGATGGTTGTACTATTTGTGATTTAAATATCGGAGAAGAACTATATGACAAATTCCTGAATTATATAATATAAAAAGAATATTTAAATAATAAATCCATTTTATAGTTAATTTTATATTTATTATATCCATTATATTAAGATTCATTATATCATTTATTGTAACAAAATATTTTAAATATTAATATTTCATAAATTCGCGGGAGATTGAAGTGACTAAATTATAGTTATATATTTTTAAATTGAAGTGAGAATTCAAACACTGTTGCCAGATTTACTGTTACTTTAGTTTGTATAAAGTAGGCTGTGATTATGGAATCATTCATTTTCGACTCATGTTTTAAAAATATTCTACACATAGCGAATTCAGTAGTTTAAACAAATAACGAAATTTTGTATACACTTTCACTTCACAAAATTCGATATAGAAAAATATTCTAAAACAATAATTTTCCCTACATCAGTATCTCTAGCGCGAAATACGAACGAGGAAAAATATATTTATATTTAATAGAAATAAATACAGCTGATATATCAGCTAATGTCAGTTGTACATATGTGTTCTTTGTAAAATGATAAAAATATATTGATTTACAGGTATGCATATTTAGGACATTTTTTTTATAATTGGCATATCAAATATTTACATTTATAGTTGATATATTTTTCTCAAATTCAATTGTTATATTTTTGACATTATTGCTCGATTTCGTTAAAAATGTGGTTAGTTTTCGATAATTACTATAACTTATTATGCTATTTGCAGGTGAACAAATCAAAGAAATTATTAAAAATATAATGTTAATTATTATAATCTGAAAATATATTAACTAGTCGAACGAAATCACTGCCTTTAATGCGATTCTCTGAACAAATTTATTTGTCATTTAAACTTATTTTATTTTAATATTTTCAATGCTGACGAACAATAAAGATTTTCAAACATGGAAATTAATGAAATTATAAGAGATATCTTTGGGCCAGATGTATTCTTAGAGCCTAATGATACAAAATTTAGTAAAGAAAATGAAAAGCCTTCAAGGTATTTTTATCAATCTTATTTCTTTATGAATGAGTTAAAATAATGAAATTTTTGAAATATATATATTAAAATTTTAGAGTGTCACATAGTTTAGATTTGATAAATAAATACATTGAAAGTACCCTTTTAAAAGATGCTCCGATAAAAGATATACGAGACAGTAGAATTGGCAGAATTGGACCAGATATAGTTCGATTTGATGTATCATCACGTCTTGGACTATTTTCAATTTCTCCTGATAGACTTACTGTTAATGCTAGAAGTAATTTTAGTACAATGAGAGCAAATACAGCAGTATATCAAGGAAAATGGTTATATGAAATACAACTTGGAACCAAAGGTCTTATGCAAATTGGTTGGAGTACAGTTAATTGTAAATTCACCCAAGAATCTGGAGTTGGTATGTTATTGATAATATTTATATGTTATTTATAATATTTATTGATAATATAATTTAGAAATATTTAATTTCATTTTATTAAAAAAAAATTTAAGTAATTATATAATTTTATTTAATAATATTTTATTTAATATATTAAGTAATGATATAATTTTATTTAATAATATCTTTTAATTTTAAAATGCATTTAATGTAATATCTTTTTATTAGGAGATACTATTAATTCATATGCTTATGATGGAAATCGTATTAGAAAATGGAATGTGGCTACATATTCATATGGAGAATCATGGCTTGCAGGAGATATTATTGGATGTGCAATAGATTTAGACAATGGATATGTTGATTTTTATAGAAATGGTAGACATTTAGGACGAGCATTTGAAAATATATCAATGGGTACTGGATTTGCATATTTTCCAACAGTCAGTCTTGCATTAAAAGAAAGTTTAACAGCCAATTTTGGATGCACACCAATGCATTATCCTTTAGAAGGATATGAACCACTACAAGCAGTTCCAAAACAAGAAATACATCAAGCTAAGCTTTTATTTAAATGGTTTTCAAAAATAATAGAACAGATAAATACAAGACAGCATATGAATAAAGAAATTATGTTGTCTGATGAAAATATGAGTGTAAAAGCCTATTTAATGTGTCTTTCAAATTGTATTTTAAAACATATAGGACCTTTAGTTGCAATACCATATATTACAGAAGATATTTTAGTCCCTTTCATGCAACATATTTCTGAATCAAAAACAAATTTTACTTCTTTATTATCAACTTGTTTAGATTTATTATGGACATTTCTTGAAGAGCATGAGATCAAAATATGTTTGGAAACTATCGTCCTTTTTTTATTATCTGCATTCAAACATGTATCTTATTTATCTGAATATTTTGATCAGTGTAAAAGTATTCTACTTTTAACAAAAATTTGTCAACATATATTGACGCGACAATATTTATTACAACATTTACTTTTTGATCAAGTAAGGCTTCCAAATTTCTTGAATGTTAAACCACCAGATAGAAAAGGATTAATTGATATAGTCAGTAATGTATGGTGGGAAACAGATCCTATAGATTTAACGATTGAAGCTAATAAGGAAAGTTACATGGAAGCATGTCAACAAATTAAAGCTACAATCTCTGGTACAAACAATAAATAAATATTTTTGTTATATAACATTTTCGTTTTATATATATTATTATATTTATATTTTACAGAATTAGAAACATTGCAAGTACAATTATTAGTAATTCTTCTTGATAATTCTGATGGAAATGAAAAGAGACCAACTTCAAGAACTATATTTTTAAAGAAATTTAAACGTTTTGTACCTATAGCAAATAATGTAAGTTAGAAGACTGATAAATTGTTCATGAATAAATTACTCTATGTAGCATTATGTGTTTGGTCAGTATTTCTACAGAGAATAATCAATAACTTCAGAATTCGGCACCGATTACACTATGTTGCATTTATCGACTTCTGGTTGCATTCAGAATTTTATGGGATGCTGAAGTTGGAACATCTCCTATTTATGTGCCTTGCAAGTAAATTTCAATCAAGTATATTTATAATATTTTATATAATTAATGTTATATGCATTTTATTGATCTTTATTTAATTTAATATTTTTTATTTAATATTAATTCATTTAATAATTTATAAATTAAAATGAATAGGGTATTTTACGATGGATCAATCGATTACTTGGGAATTGAAAGGCTGGGTGGTGTAGTATCTCATTTAAACAAATTGCATAGGAATGAACTAATACAGATATTAGGTCCTGAACATGAAGCAATTGTTACAACGGAACAGACTCAAGATTCATCTAATTCATATACTAGAATGGCACTCGTTCGAGTGATAAATATGAATCCATTAGATCAAGGAAGATCAATAATTCTTGATACGGCACCATTACCCGTAAATATTGTAGATTCGACTACATCTTTGCTTGAGCTACTTGATAGTATTATTTTATTCTACCATCTAGTAGCAAAAAAGCCATTAGCAAAAGTGGCTTTTCTTAGGAATAGCATGTTAGAATATATTTCTGCTAGTCAAGATTTAAAAATACGACTAGGAGAAGTTACAAAAAAAAAAAACGTTGAATCTGAGACAATTCAGCAAGAATTGTCTAGATCAATAAATGTTTTTAATACCAAATTAATAGAACAGGGAAGACATATGGCCTGGATTCGTGCTGCTGTTTATTCAGAAGAGAAACAATTATTATTAGCATGGCTTCTAAAAGTGGTTACATTGACTTTAATGAATGCTAGTTTAGAAGGAAATATGTTTAGTTTCGTACCAGACTTTTATTTGGAAGCATTAGCTGATTTATGCGTTGGTTTACGAAATCACATGCATCCAACAGCACATATTGAAAAAAT